CATACAAGACTCAAACAAGACTAATCCAAGACTCATACAAGACTCCTAATAGACTAATACTTCTCATAGATATCTGGCCAAGTCAGCGAACTTATACTAGCTGAAATCTATGCGAGCGGCTACGAAGGGAAGGATCGAGCAGGCAGCAGCGAACGAGTAGTGAGCTGTGCTAAACTCAGCAAAGAGTAATGTATCTAAGTATTGAAGCTTATGCTAATCATGAATCGAAGCAACTAAGCGGAACAGCAGAACAGCGGACCGGCAACAGAGACAATAGCTGACAGTTCTATGGTAATGGATAGTCTAGGTCCGGCGACAGGAGAGGTAACCCTATCCTAATCAAAAGGAAGAGAACATTGATGAAGAGCCGCGGTAGAGGTAGGTGACAGGCTGATAGTGAATGTGTGCAGTACTATAGTGGTATTGGTAAGTAGTGCTATCTACGCAGGCCCATGACACTGCTAATTTTTCTGCCGCCAGAATCCGCTGGACCCTAGCGCCGTGCAGGGCACCCATAGCTTGGAGAGCAGAGTTGTACACTCTTGGGATTATGTGCACTACAGTCCACTCCACTTATCACAAACTCGTATAATTGCGAATTTGTGATAATTTATAGCGAACCATTGTCGATGTCCCTGTTTGAGCTCATACAAACTTAACCCTTTGTAGGGAACTGTCTCCGTTTAAAATTGAAATGAACTATTAATTTTCTTAGGCCCCATTCACACACGGTACAAAACCGCATACAAGGATCATGTTCTTTGAAGTGGGCATGGAAACAAGCGCGAAAAGTGAAAAATCACATGAACGTTCAAAGCCATCCCGGAGCGGCTTTGAAGGCGGCTTTGAAAGCGGATTCCGGCTTTTAGTTTTCAGGCAAGTCGAAACGAGTGGTTTGGTATATGGTGTGTCGAGTGCGCAGAGTTTTTGTTAGTTTTTGGAGAGTCCGGTACCATGCCTCGAGTTGTCTTTTCAGCCGAGGTGGAGCAACGGCTTATAGAACTATGGGGGAAATACCAGCGAGAAAAAAGTGGAACTATGATGAAAAGAGCTGTTGCCGAGAAGCGGATTGCAGATGAGCTGAATCTGTACGCAAAACAGCTATCCGGAGGTGATCAGGAAATGATATACACGGCCGCTATCGTTCACAATAAAATAGACAATCTAAAGACGAAGGCCAGAGACCAGTACAAGAAGTATCGAAAGAAAACTGCAACTGGTTCTCCTGCTGGAGATGCGAGTGAGGACAGCTCCTACGACTTGGGAACAGCTTTCGCCACCTGGACAAATTTCAAGAGCTGGCATCGAATTTTCAAGACTGTGCCAGGATATGGTCCTATGAACAGTATCAGCTCTGTGTCTGTGTGTGGCTCTAGCCAGTCATCGCAGTCTTCCTTGTCTCCTTGTACTACTGCAACTGAATATACACCACGTCGGATATCCTCTACTACTGCAACCCATTCACCGGATGATGCTTTTGACATACTGTCTGCACAAGGTGCTACTGATGCTGTTTCTGCAGCTGGAGTAGCTACCTCGACCATATCACCTGCCCGCTCCGCTGTCCGCTACCAGTCACCTCAAGCATCTTCACAGGCGTGTGCTGCTCCTGCTGACATGACTGGCGCTACTACGCCAACTTCTCGTCATCGGGCATCTGGTCCCCACTCCGCTGTGCTGCAATCGTCCTCGGGATCCACTGGCCAAATGATTGAAAGGGAGACGTCTGGTCGAGACAGCGATGAGGATCGTGCTGCCCTTGATGGCGCTATGTACGGCAGCCCGCAGACTGATGAGACGTATGAACCATCGCTAGAGACTAACGTTAGATGCGCACCGGCTCTCGGGGGAAGGAATTCGGATGATGGCACCCAAGAGGTTGTTCTGGCGGAAATGAGTGATGACGACAACGACAATGCCTTCATAGACGTGAATGAGGATACCCATGACGTCGATGAGCCCGCGCCCAAGAAAAAGAGAAAGCCGAAAAAGAAACGACACCCTGAAGCTGCGGGTGCTTCCACCCTGGATAGGGTTGTGGATAAAATAAACAAAGGCCAAAAGAAGTCCCAGAAGCGCCAGCAGTCCTTTTTGAGCACCATAATTCAGCAGCAGCAGACCCACACACAGAACTTGATGCAGAGCCATATGGAGTTCACCGCCAGGCTGTTCGATAAGCACTTTTAGAATATCTCAAGGGGCTGTGATCTACAGCCAACACTCGTAGAGTAGCCTGAGTGGCTCACTATGTGGATGTACCACACTTTGTTCTTTGTTTTGCTACTAGAACTGCTCTGTCCATCCTTTGTCTTACTTTTCTATGTGTTCAACACCTGTATGGCCTATCATTCCTTGTCTCTCTCTCTCCCTCTCCCCCCCCCCCCCTCTCTCTCTCTCTCTCTCTCTCTCTCTCTCTCTCTCTCTCTCTCTCTCCCCCCCCCCCCATCCCCTCAAGTCTGCATGCTTCGGCTGTGTCGTTTTTTTTAGGATACTGTTAGTATACTGTAGTTTTGCTTGTGTGATGCTGTTCTTCCCAACCCACCATCACCACCTGCACGTTTGTGCTGTAGAGTTCGTAATCTGCAAAAAGATAATAATTATATTGTTACGCAATGATGCATCAACACTACTGCGCCTGCAGATTTGCAAATGTTGTTTGTTGGGGAAACGTCGTGAGAGAAATATGAGGGAGTTGATATGACGTTGGAGGGAACGCAGACACTTCATGTGCAGAATTGAATTCTACGTGGTGCTTGCCAAATAGTCGCTGTGATAAGAAGACAAAAGGTAAAATCAAGTACATGTAAGTGCAACGAGGGTTGAGTTGCAAAAAAAATACAGTTTAGTACAAATATAAGAAAAGGAAAAAACCGAAAAAATTGTGGCTGGCACTGCATTCTAATTTCACACAGCAGAAGGCTACATCCAACAACTTCGATACACGTACATTGTGTGACTGTCAGAAGGAGGGCATGCTTGGACTACCAGGTGATGCAGAATTAGACATTGTGCACTGTACCTCAATGGGTGGTGTGGCTGTTTAGTTGCCGTAGCAGAGAAGAAACCGGTCTTGCGATGCGAGATGATGTCTGGCGCACAATTAGACATTGTGTACATATGAGGCAAGTTCACGTCGAATATCCTCAGCTCCAGACGCATGAACCTCAATGGCCGGTGTGGCTGCATAGTTGGCGTAGCACGGAAGGAAGCCGGTCTTGCGACGCGAGATGATATTGTGGAGGCCACAGCACAGGAGCCCTACTTGGCTTGCAAAGTGAGGATCCTTCAAGAAGGATTGCGACACAACAGCAAATCTCTTCTTCAGCCTTCCGAATGCACACTCTACTACCCGCCTTGCACGGATCTGGCAATAGTTGAAACTCAGCTGCTCTGGTGATAGGCTGCCATCATCCTTGTAGATCTTCATCATGGATGGCTTCAGGGAAAATGCACTATCTCCAATGAGGAATGGGCGGATGGAGACACCATTCCTAGTTGCTGAAGCTGCGTTGAGCCACTCACCACCGTCGATCTTTGCTTTCAGTTGGCTATTGTTGTAGACCGCTGCATCACCTATGCAACCAGCAGCACCGATATCAATGAACGTGAACAGCCCTTGCGAGTCTACGCAAGCAAGTAGCAGAATGGCGGTGTATCCCTTGTACGTCCAGTATGCGTCTCCGTTTTCTTCTGGTTTCACTATACCCATGAATGTACCGTCGACCGCACCGCAGCACATCGGAAGGTTGGATAGCTTCTGAAACCTTCTCATGGTCCGGTTCAGCTGGCGTCCCACAGGGAACAAAATATTCTCCTCTGCAACAGCACCAACCAGGCCGGTAACCACTTGGTGCACAATGTTGGCGACGGTGCTTGTTCCAACACGAAATCGGCCAGAGATCTCGGAATACGTTTCAGCATGGGCCATGAAATAGAGGGCAATCGCTAGGCGTTTGGCAGGAGGGATTGTGCGACGCATATGGTTGGAGAGCCTTGCGAACAAATGACCATATTTCCTCACCAAGAAACAGAACGTGTCCCGATCCATTCTGAAGTGGGTTATCCACTGGTCTTCCCACCACTGTCTGGACACAGGTTTCACTCGCTCCCAAGTGCCAAGAACTTCTTCTTCCCAGAAACCTGCTGCTGCACCAACTTCATTCTCGGGATGAGCAGTCCACAGCATTCGTCCAACTTGAACAGATTGCTCCATGAGCAAACAAACGGCGATTTGATACAATTGGGAGTCGCTTTCCAGCACAATCCCCACAAGTTCTACAAGCGACAATGACTTCTGGAGAAGTTGTTCCCTGATAAAATTATCGCTCAGCATCCAAAAAAAGGCAGCCTTTCGACGCATGCCCTCGTTGTGTCCGATCACGGCATCCATTGTCAGCGTGACTGACGAACTAGAACAAACTAATAATACTTGAGCAAACTGAGACGAATGCACCAGTTGTGGAGGCTGGAGACGTTCCACACAGATCATACTACTATACTGTACTGTACTAGCGGACCAAGAAATAGTTGAAATTTTGAGCCACGTGCGGCACGGTGCGCTCAGCTCATGCAGAAATCAAAATTCCCGCTCTTCGCCATGGGTCACGTGGGTCACTTTTTACGTGATTGGCGTGCACAGCTTTTGACTGTGTGAATGCACAGGCGTTGCAAGCAGCTTGTACGGTCATGTAAACTAGAATTTTTGTACTGTGTGTGAATGCAGCCTTAGAGGGCCGCATGACATCCGGCAAATGCACCCATACAGCCGTGGGCCACATGCCAGTGTTGTGTGTATGGTGTGAGTGCATTTCTGTTATAACGAACTTCGGCTATAAGAATTCTCCTGCACAATGGTGTTCGTTATTCAGGAGTCGACTGTAGTTACCGTACTTCAGCTACCGTACTCGATAGCGTTGCGTTGTTCTGGCAAAACTGGACCCAAAAATCGCCGCTCGCTAGCCCAATTTCACACAACATGCTGTTTGGAAAAAAATAGTTACCTGTTGAAGAAATTTCTTTTGTCCATTCAGCAGACTGTCCGGAGCAGCGTTGAACAGGAGGGACATCAGTACGACCTTCACTAAAGTATAGCAGTACTTGCAAGCTGAAGTGTCTGCTTTTTGCAGTTAGAGTCACGCTGGCGACATTGGGGAATGAGTCGGGAAACCGGACAACATACTAGTAGTGAACAAAGTCCTATACTACCAAACTGGTTCTTTATCCTTCGCTATGTCCAAGATGTAATGGTTGTTGGTAACACTAAGTCTTGTTGTGTGGGACGTCAGTAGCTAGGTTCGCTTGAAGTTGAAGCGAGTTCAAGTGCTCTGATTTTTCCGCTTCTCGACGCTAGCATTGTTTGTAAAAAAAGGCTGTGCATGTGGTTCGCGAGGAATGAATGAATGGATAATCATTGACATAATCAATCATTCAATACGAGCTGGAGATATCTCTCGAGACAGCTCTTGACGAAGGAATTATGCGATTTCCCGTGCGATTTCAGTTTTATACGGAATTATTTCTCCCAAAGTTATATATTTTCCTTGAATTCGCTAGAAAATCTCAGAAGCAGTGTACCGTTGCGGTAGCTCTCTTTGCTGCCGCTCTGCGCGGATACGCCGCATGCGCTGACTATCGCTTCTGCGGACGCTGGGTGAAAAAGGCGCACATGCCTGACAGATGTTTGAATCGATCATGTTTGCAGTCTTTGTTTTTTTTTTTTTTTTTTTTTTTTTTTTTTTTCCGGGTTTGTACAACTCGTTTTTTTTTTTTAATGCCGATGTACTGATTGAGTAATTATACTAAAAATGTTTGGCACCTATGATCAGGGGATGGCCCACGCCTGGTAAAAAAGTAAATAATTAAAAAAAAATTAAAAATAAGAGGTTCTGTGTTCCGGCTCTCCGCCTTCTCCGCGAACATAAGAGAACTAGAGGAGAACAAACAAACACAAGAAGCAAGAATGACACGAAAAGCAGAAATTATGAGAACATGGTATAAATGAGCACGGCCATCAACCTCAACAGGGGATAGCCGCCTCGGCAACAACAAGAGCAGCTGAGTCCGCGGCAAAGACCGGTGCATAGAGCCGCCTAGCACCCCTCAGGCACATCACACTGGATCGGACCAAGGCAAAGCTGATTTGACACCGGATCGAAGCCATCACGGCACTGTAGGCCTCTCCGGTCTTGTCGGCGATGAGGGACGCTATCCTCTTGTACAGAGAGGTGGCAGATTTCCCCATGCCTCCCGTAGTGGAGAACACGGCGGGAACAAAGCTGGAGTGTTCCACTTCTCGGATTCTCTGCTCATAGGCACGGCGCTTGGCTTTTTCGTGACGGGTGTAGCTAGCAGCAAGTGAGTTGAGGCGATTCGAGGACGCAAAAGGGTTAAACACCCGGACATCAATGTAGGTGCGCTCGAACCGCCCTCCCCAAATACCACTAGCCACCACGTCAAGGCGGGCTTGGTCGTCGCCCACAGCAGTACGGTACCGGAGCTGCTCTCCAGTGAGTGGCTGCAAATGTGGCTCAATAGCCACCTGGTGGCCAACACGCTTCGCAAGGCGAGCTGTCACATCGCGTACCTCGTTGTGGCGGAGGGTTGGGAAACCGCCTAACGGGCAGGAGAGGGCATGGCTGACGGTGAACTGCTGTCCACAGGAACATGATGTTGGCAGTCGTACTGGGTGCCAGCCATACCGGAGGTGCACAGCATCGCGGAACTCAGCCTTCGTGAGGGTGAAGCCGTGGGCCTTTAGAGGCCGGCAGGTGAGCCAGCTGGATGCCCCCCGCTCCGAAGCAAGGTCGATGGTACGTTGAACCTCTGGAGGTGCGGCAGAATGCAGAGCGACGGCCTCGGCTTGGAGTGATGTCTTTGCCTTCGCCCTCAACAGCTGCTTGTTCTTCCGCACTTCCTGCAGGGCATCGCCAAGCGTGGCAGTCTGCTGCTGAATGCGCCGCACCAGGGGGCCAACGATGGTCTTGGAGTGGGCGTACTGGGCCCCGAGGGAGGCAGGTGTGATGAGCCCCAGACCACCATGTCGACAAGGCAGAGCCAGAAGCTGTCGCTCATCATCGTTGACGGTTCTGCCACCTAAGAGAGCGGGGATGAACTTGTTTCTGATGGAATCCTCCAACGGCTGCATGTACAAATGTAGGTCAGCCATGACTCGAGACAGGAAGGACCATTTGCTTCGCAGGCCGTGAACAAACGCTGCATATGCAGCTTGGGGCTGTGACGAAGCAATAGTGCTGAGCGACATCACCTCCTCTACCCAGGATTGAACCTTGCGCTCCATAAAGCAGCGGGAGAATTCTGCTGAGCCAAGCGCGGCTCCCAGATGCCGACATCCATCTGTGCGGATGTCAATTCCAGTTCCAGCAAATATGCTGGTGGCCTCATCCAGAAACTGTGGCTTGACAAGGAGGACAGACTTGGTCGGGTTGAGGAAATAGCCGTATGATGGACCACTCTCGTTGAGGCGATCCCACCAGATTCGTACTGCTTGCAACTTGCCTCCTGCTGCAGAATCATCCGCAAACCAAGACTGCGTGGCACCGTCTGTTGCTGCTTCTTCGATGAGGGGGAGAACACCGAGAGCGTACATCGCCATAGCGACCGGGTCGCCTTGGGTGGTACCTTCGCTGGACTTGATACACTCACCGCTTACGAACAGATTGGCCGGCTCTCTGTATGTGTTGATGACTGTCGGAGCTAAGGACGGGCAGGTGTGTTGGATGTTCCGCATGCATACTTCTCTGTTCAGACAATTGAACGCATTAGTGGCATCAGCCAGTAGGATTGCTTCCGTGTCATCCAGCTGATGGAGGTCATTCATGGCGTGAATGGCTGCTTCAACACCTCCATCTTGGCCAGCACATAGTTGGAGACTTCCGGCTGCACGTTGAATTTCGTCATTCGTGATGGAGAGGATGGCTTTCCCCATGATCCGGCGAAGGACCTCACCTATGCCGATGGGCCGCACGCCTGGCTTCTTATCAAGGGGAATCAGGCGACAGGCGACGTAGGCCTCCAGGCTTGATGGATGGACATAGGTCGTTGCTAGCCGTCGTGCACTTGCTGCAATCGCGTCGCACAGCTGATCGGAGATGTCGGCGAAACCTGAACACATGCGTCGCCAGTTGTCGGCGGCGACTCCCGAGGGACCTGCAGCACCATGGGTATTGAGCGCTGCCCGTAGCACCACTTGTCGTGTTAGTGCCTCGAATTGGATGGGATGGGGTGGGGTAGGCGCAGTCTTTGTACGACTACTACGAGTCCTGCTTGAACTGCACTGCATAGAATCTCCTGTTTCTTGATTGAGCTGAGATTGTGAGAAGGACATTTTGTTGATTCCAGTTGAGTTTGAATGTTGCATTGAGTGATCTGGTGATTGTCTTCCGATATCTGGCCTACGGTCTTGGCGATCCACTGCACACGCTCTGGTCTGGGTAGTTGCTTCGTGACGAGAAGCCTGAGGCAATGTAGTATTTTGACGTTGGCGAGAACGAATAATTATAATTTAGAAACTGAGTATTTGTATACAGTTGCTGCTGGCTCTCCAGACACAAAGCTGGCGTGATGATGGCGCAGAGCGTATCGGACACGGAGCACTATGGAGATCGGGGCCAGGCATTCAAGCTGGACTTTCCACAACGAACAGAACCGCGGCCTGCCGCCGCGTCGAGCACCACCAACAGCAGCAGCACTGCTCTGACCAGTACAAGCGCTGTGGCTGGGCTAAACAACAGCGGACCCGGTGGCGTGTATGCCCATTCCAGATTTACGTTACCACCAACTGACGCAACGTCAGCGAACAAGGCGAGGATCAGTACAGTGACGTCAGCAGGAGTTCAGCCATCGGCCGTGCCAGCATCCATTACGGTGGGACCGACTCGATCAGACTCGCCGGTATCGAACACGTCCCGAAACCAGCTCGTCAACCCCAGCTACTCGCCGATCGACGCCAAGTTCGCGGTGCCCCTGTCGGACCGGCCGCAAGAAGCTTTCTCCATGCCGCCCAGTTCTCTACCGACCGGAGCACCAACTGCTGTCACGTCGGCTACGATCAGCGGAGAGCCGAGCAGCACGATGCAGCGTGCAACACCGGCACACTCCGTACCAACAACACCCGTCGGCAGCGGCGTGCGAATGGCTCGGAGCGTCAGCGGCAACGGCCCGGTCATGGCAGACGCTCGCCACCGTGCGTCTTTATCATCCGTCACAACAAATTCTGCTGCTGCCACCGCCGTCGCACCACTCACGACCGCATCGCTGATGGAGCGGCTGGAGAAGTACCGCACGTCCGGTGTCGGCGGCGGCGCCAGCAACAACAATGGCATTGACGGCGCCAGCCTGGCCAGCAGTCGCGAGCAGGACGCCATGCAGCTGCGCCGCGTCGGCTCCCTGTCCAGTCTGGCCGCCGTGACGACGGCCAATGGCGTCCACGCCGTAGGCAGTGCTGTCGGGACGAGTGCGCCGCGGGCCTCGTCCTCGTTTGGCCTGCCCTCGTCGTCCTCTGGTGGCATCGTCGTCGGCACGACGCCCACGCGATCACACCGTGGAGGTCCTCTCTCGTCCTCGTTCACGGCCGCGGGAGTGTCTCCATCGTCGGCACGGTACCAGAGGCCGCCGTCCGTCACTCAAAGCCTTGCCGGCGGAACGCGCACGGCAGAGATTGAGGCAAAGCTTCAGCGCACAGTACAGGTTAGTATCAATTACACTGTACTGACTTAACATGTACTAGTACCGTATTCTCTATTACAAGCGCGGTTTCTTGTAGAAGCCCAGTCTCTATTACAAGCGCAGTCTCTTGTAGAAGCCCAATCTCTATTACAAGCGCAGTCTCTTGTAGAATCCCAGTCTTTATTACAAGCGCAGTCTCTTGTAGAAGCCCAGTCTCTATTACAAGCGCAGTCTCTCGTAGAAGCCCAATCTCTATTACAAGCGCAGTCTCTTGTAGAATCCCAGTCTCTATTACAAGCGCAGTCTCTTGTAGAAGCCCAGTCTCTATTACAAGCGCAGTCTCTTGTAGAAGCCCAGTCTTTATTATAGGCGCACTCCAAGAGGGCTTCGGAAGATATACAAGCGCAGTCTCCAATATAAGCGCAGGGCTTATAATGGAGAACTGTATGGATCCTGTCCATGCATGTTTGACATCACAATGTGTCACATACCCACATGTTGTGGCACAAGTCTGTGAACCCTGGCGTAAAAAGAACAGACTCGGTGTACCAGGAAGTACGAAACTGCATCCACGATACCTGGTGGTAAGCTTTGTGCTACTGGTGTAATAAAAAAATGATGCCAAATGTACGTGTAGCAGATGGTTTAAAAATTATAAGCCCAGGGTACGGACTGGTTGAAGAAATATAAGCCCAGGGCTTATAATGGAGATAATACGGTACATGATATTTCTGTACAGGTCAGCATTCAGTCAGCACTCTAAAGTACCTTCCGACGCCCCTGCAGTGATGTGTCCCTGTAGTACAACATCAGCGTGGTATCTGCAGCTTGAAGCTAACGTTGTACTTCCCCGTTTTTTTTGTCCTGTTTGCCGCCACAGGATAAAGCTCACCTGGAAGGCAAGCTGGAGGCGCTAACGGCCGAGTGTCGACTGGCCCTCAAGCAGCGCTCCGACCTGCAGCAGCAGCTCGCCACGGCGCAGGCGCGCTGCGAAGCCCACTCCGGCACGGCCGAGGCGGCCACTAAGCGCGAGCAGCAGCTGCGCGAGGACCTGGCCGACATGTCGCAGCAGCTGCACGAGGCGCTGCAACGGCAGAGCCAGGCGGCCAACCAGCACGGTGAGGGAGTGCTGTTGTCTTCTTCTCTTACATCACTGTATAGTACAACGTTTCAAGGTGACCAGTCTGCTATGGTGACCACCTGTTCCAGATGATTGCTTGGTTAATACCGGCCTGATGTGAATAGATGTTGACGTGTCCAAGAACAAGCCTGGCTTTTATGCATGGCTTTTGTAGAAACGTCATCGTGTTGCCACTGTGCTCTTGCTACTTTGCTGCTGTTGCTACCGCTGCACAGTTGCTGCTGCTGCTGTTACTGCTGCTGGTGCTATTGTTGCTGCTGCTGCTGCTGTTGTTGTTGCTGCTCCTTTTGGCTGCCCCTGTTATTTTGTGTTTGTTTTTGCTGTTTCCAATATTTATTCTGATGGTGTTGTTGTTGTTGTTGTTGTTGTTGTTGTTGTTGTTGTTGTTGTTGTTGTTGTTGTTGTTGTTGTTGTTGTTGGTTTTGTTGTTGTCGTCGTCATCGTCGTCCTGGTCTGTTCTCTTCCCTGTTTGCAGGTGCCGACTGGTCAACGGTGGAGGAGATCCAGGACCAGTGTGGTGAGCTGCAGCAGGCACTGGAGCAGCTGCGCAAGTCCAGCGCCGAGCAGGTCAGCGAGAACGCCAAGCTACACGCCAGCTTGCAGGCAGCTCAGGCGGACACGCACCGCGCCGAGGAGGAACGAGCGCGTATGGCGCGAGACCTTACGGCCTTCGCCAGTGACAAGGCCATCCTGGAAGAGAACAATAATGTAAGGGATCACATAGTTCTAGCCAGGAAAACGAGTTGTAGGGGGGGGGGGGGTATAATATGCACATGGTATGGACAAGAGTACATACCCCCCCCCCCCAGAGTGTGCAACTCGACTACGGGTACTGTTCCGACAGAATTTCAAGCATTGCATCATAAATAATTAAAATAAATGACGTCAACTCGAAATTCTGTCGGAACGCCGGGGTATGTGGGAGTTTCACACTCTTGGGGGGTTACGCTACTCTTGGTATGGATGAATGTGACGACGGTGGACTGACTGTACTCATGCAGACTTTGTACTCCCTGCAGCGTCGATGTCTAGTACTGGATGTAGGCACGCTGCACGCATGCATGCACGGTGCCAATAAGCTGTTTCGCCAGCCACCTTGGCACATACCGTACACGTGCAGTCAACTTCGCGTATAACGACACTCGGCGGGGCATCAGAAAAGTGTCGTTATTCGCGAAGTGTCGTTATACCCGAAGTCTCATTATATGTATTACAGTTGGATGGGACTTTGCTCTGGGCATGGAAATTCTGTCGTTATTCGTGAATTGTCATTATAGCGGCAGTCGTGATTAGCGAAGTTGACTGTATGTGGACCAAAAACAAGTTTCAGAATTTGGAGGAAATGACTCGGTCAGCCGACGCGAAATAGTTTTATTTTTTGTTCTTGTCTAAATGATCTTTTATAGCAGGGCATGCATGTGCTGAGTACAGTAAAACCTGTAACTAAAGACCACCGTGACTAGCGACCAGCCTGGTACAACCAACCACTGCGCCAGGCACGGACTGTCTCACATTCACATATGGTTGTCCGGTGCAAACCTCTAACTAAGGACCACCTGCCACTAAAGACCGCTTTCTCTGGCCCCAAGCGTTGGTCGTTAGTCTCAGGATTTACTGTTTTTGTGCGTTTTCTTTGCCTGCTCTTCACATCACAGGTGCTCCAGGACCAGCTGGACTCTGCGCGCGCCGCCACGGAGAGCGTGCGCGCGGACCTGTCCGCCGCGCACTCCGCCGCCCTCAAGCTGTCCGTGGACCTGGAGCGCGAGCGCGTGCTGACCACCGACCGCGACTCGCAGCTGCGCCGCCTGCAGAGCCAGACGCTGCAGCAGCAGGGCAACATCCTCTCGTCGCTGGAGGACTTCGAGGCGGAGACAGCGGCGCGCGAGGACTCGCTGCAGCGGCAGGCGCGCGAGAAAGAGTCGGCGGCCGACGAGCTGGAGAAGGCCTACCGAGAAGCGGCGCGCGAGTCCGCGGAGCTGTTGCGCGGCCAGACCCAGCTGAAGGCACAGCTACAGGCTATGGAACGGCAAGCTGCCGAGTTCAAGCAGCTGGCTGAGGGCACGCTGGCTGATAGGAAAGCGGCTGAAGGTGGGTGAACATTTTTTTTTAATGAGCTGGTTCTGAATCTTAGTTTCAAGTCTCTTTTCTAGCATGGTCAATATTACTCAATACTATGCCTAGTAATCACTCCATGGGATGGGAGACCTATCCTTTTGAAGCCTGATTCATACTTCGTCTCGCGTACGGGAAACGCGTCGCATCGCGAAAAAGCTGACTTGAGCTCAACTTGTTTGGCCCATCGCGAGACGGTCGCGCGATGATTTTCCCGTACGCGAAACGAAGTATGAGTCGGCCTTAAGGAAGCATGTTCTCTTTCTACATAATTATAGTCAACGTTGAGAATACCGACGATCCTTGATCGTACATGAGAAAAGTGTCGTTGTACTTGACGTTGAAAGTAAGCAGTCGAATGGTCACTAGGTCTGAAGATGTCTAGTTATTCGCAAGTTGTTGAGTTCGAGGTCGTTATTCACAAAATTGATTTGACTACTGTATCCGGGACTCAAGTCTCTTTTTCAACAGCATACTAGTAATAGAAACTATGCATAACAAGCACTTCACGGCGTAGGAAACCTGTCCTTTTATATTCATATTTCTCTTATCCAGACCTCCCAGTTCTATCATGTGACTCAGTCGGTCACTATGAATGTCAGGCAGGAACAGACCTTTTTCGTTGGTTCCAGGGAATGATCTTTTGTGTCATTTCTTTTTTCCCCGAATTGATTTTAATTTTGAATAATATGGGTACCTTTGTGTGTGTGTGTGTGTGTGTGTGTGTGCGTGTGTGTGTACGTGTGTGTGCAGACGAGGTGATGCGACTACGCGAGCACCAAGCTCAGCTGGACAACGAGCTGGATCGGGCCGCCCAGGCTCTAGCCGGTCACGAGCAATCCACCAGCGCCCTGCGCACCGAGGTCTACGTGGCCGAGCAGGCAGCTGCCATGGAGCAGGACAAGCGCCGGCAGCTCGAGGAAGACCTCCAGCGCCTGCGCAGCAACATGCTCCAGCTGGAGGACGGCCTGCAGCAGGTACAGCGCGAGGCGGAGAGCCGCGAGCAGGAAGTCGACGAGGAGCGCCAGCGCATTCTAGGTGAGGTGGACGAGGAACGCCAGCGCAATGCGCAGCGCGAGGCCGAACTGGAGGACGCTCTCTCGCGCACCACGACGGATCAGCGGGCGCGCTCCCTGCAGTTGGAGAAGCTGGAGCAGGAGCGCGAGGCCATGCAGAGTGACGCGGCCCAATTGAGCGCCAAGCACGCCCAGCTCACCGAGCAGCTGGTGGCGTGCAAGGCAGCCGCGGGCGATGCCGAACGCAATGCAGTCGCTGCTCAGCGAACGGCCACCGACGCCAACCGCCGTCTGGAAGAGGAGAGGCAGCACGCTGAGGTGCAGCTACGCGCTGCCGCAGCCACGCACGAGATGGAGCTGGAGCGCGCGCTCGGGGCCAAGGTAGCAGCCGAGGCCGAAGCCGAGCGCGCTCGCATGCAGCTGGAAGCGCATCAGCAGGGCGTGGAGGCAGAGCTGCGAGCCGCCGTCGAAACGGCCACGCAAGCCCACCGTCAGCTGCAGGAGCAACACCGAGCGCTGGCCGGCAGGCTGACGGACGCCGAGAGACTGAAGGAGCGCGCCGAGCACGAGGCAGTGCGTAGCGCCAAACGAGCAGAGCGACTGCAGCAAGACGCCGCGGCTCTGGAGAACGAACTGTCCAGCGCTAACAACACACGTGCCCTGGCTGAGAACGCCCTGGGACACACCAGGCAAGAAGCGGAGCAGCGAGAGGCCGAACTCAACGATCAGGTAGGTGATGAATCGTATTACAGCCTTTAGAACGCGTTCAGTCCCAGCACTTTGTCAAGTCGGATGATGTCATTTTGCGGTAAAGAACAGACGGAGTAAACAAGTTATCACCACCAAATTTTCACCGAAGATTGGACTATCCCAAGTGTTCATGCTACAGTACTTGTACATGGCAGTTCTTTACCATCCGTGTGTACTTGAATCGATCTCTAGAGATCGATGGACATGCATAAACTAAAACATTCGTAACTCAATCGATTCTTGTCGGAATTCAAAGAACTAAGTATCTAGGAAGAAGCCGAAGAGCCCAGCTTTCCATTGTATCAATCGGTAAAGAGCTGCGATGTCGCATTACAAAGATATTTCGCTCGACATTTCAGCTACGGCAAAAGTCGAATTTCTTTCCGAGTGACTGACCTTGAGCTGGGATTTTCCCCTCTCCTGACATGCTGAGTCACTTTGGCATGCTTTGAGCACGTGGGCAGCATGGAAAGTAACTCAAGCAAAAATATTTGGAATGTTTACGATGAAGGAGCGAGAAATGGCTGGCGAGAAGAGAAATTCCTCGTATATCCAGCGATGGGGTGTATTTGAAGCTCCCTGGCGCTGGATATGTGATCTCGGTAGTATCCTGTTAGAGCTCAATGTACGCAGCTCGTGGAGAGCTTTCCAGAATGCCCAAGATTGCGAAAATTGGTTGACTAGAACCGAAGATATTCTCAGAATATGGTGAGAATTATTGCATTTGGGACTGCTGGGGAAATTTGGTCGGATGGTAAAGGGTTAACTGTGTGTTTTGTTTCTCAGAAAAAAAACTGTTGTAGCAGCAAGTTCAACCAAAGTCGCTTCAGGGACGGAAATTAGAGAGGGGGCGGATCAACAGTACTTAACAGGGTAGTAGCGTCTGGCACCAGGCAGGGTGCACAGCGCCTTGTTGCCTTTGCTCTGCCTGTTGCCCGACGGTGGTGGCTGTGTGTGTGTTTGTGTGTGTGTGTGTGTGTGTGTGTGTGTGTGTGTGTGTGAGTGTGTGTGTGTTTGTGTGCATGCCTGTATGTGTGTGTGTGTGTGTGTGTGTGTGTGTGTGTGTGTGTGTGTGTGTGTGTGTGTGCATGCGTGTGTGTCTGTGTTAGTACTAATGCTCTGCTCGCCAGGGTAATGTTCATGTCCGCAGCCAGTGTTTGCTGGCAACAAAGCCTCAAAGGCTTCCTTTATGTACAAATGCATGCTCATACTATTTGGGATGCTTTACTGCTTTTCGTGTGTGTGTGTGTGTGTGTTTGTGTTTGCAGATTGTAGCTCTCCAGGAGGAGCTTGACGAGGCTATACAGCTGCAGCAGGCTGCCAGGGAAGAGGCGCAGGCCGTCACCAACCAGCTTGCCGAGGAGCTGGAGAGAGAGCGGGGCCGTGTGGAAGGTTAGCGTTTTTGGTTAGAGTGTGTTTGTGATTAGCCATGAATCGGAGTGCCGAGGATATGGCCGCGCTGTCTACACAAATAAATTGCTATACAGTACTGCCGGGTGCCGAAGCACTCGGTGGTCAACCTCGCACCCTAGACCGTTCTTATTTTCATGTACTACAGTCGATGCACTGTTGTGTCACTCTGTGTACATTGGTATGCCGCGCTTGGTGAAATTCTAGCCTAGTCGTTCTTCGACGCTCCGTTTTTCGACCCTCCGTTCTTTCTTCGGCCCCCAACAGTACTGTATTGCTATTCGACTTGAACACACCGTGACGGGTTGCGGTGGTGAACCTTTCTTTGCTCCGCGGGAAAGTGGTACGAGGGAAGGATTGGCTGGGGGGGGGGGGGGGGCAGCCTGCAGGTCACTTGTTTGTCATAATGCGTCCTTGTCACCACCCACCACTTTGTTAGTTAGCCTTTGTTTTGCCCGTTGGTATCAGCGACGGTTCCTTGGTGTAGTGGTTATCACATTTGCTTTACACGCAAAGGGTCCCGGGTTCGAACCCCGGAGGAACCTTAGCTGATATTTTTTTTCTTCCGGCCAAACCATTCGTGCGCCCGTATCTTCCGCATCGCTGCAACGTGCTTTGAGTAGCTCATGTGGGCGCGAACGAACACGGACGAGCATTTTTTTTGCTCTTCATCGGTCGTCAACTGGTGTTGTCTCGGGGTTTTGGTTTTTTACCCCAATGCTGCATGTCTATTGTCTGTCTGCAGCCTGTTGAGTCTGCTCCATGGTCACATTGCGGGTCATGTGCAAGATTGCTTGTTGAGTAATGAGTATGTGAGAAGTAGAACGTTACATGTGTGAGTATAGACTGTAGTGTAGAGTAGAGCAAGACTGACAGGTCACGTGACCATTTTCAAGTCATGTGACTGGTCATGTGACTGAGGGGAACCCCCTTTCTGTATTCCGGAAGCTGTGCAATGACGTTTCAGAGTTGCGTCCGGCGTACGATTTCTTTCTGCGTGTGTGTGTGTGTGCGCGCGCACGCGCCCGTGTGTGGTATGGCCGGCGGTACGATCATCTCACGTGACTGATCACATAACTGATGCCCGAGGTCAAGAATGGTCCTGAGCTAACTACCGGTAACTCTCTCGTGTCCGTACTGTACATCCAGGTATCACATCAGCACAGGCCACGCTGCGTGATCATGCCGGTAATCTGGAGGCTGAACTGGCCAATCGCGAGTACTCCCTGGGCCAGCTGTCATCACAAACTGCCAATGTGCTGGCTGATAAACTAGCCGAGGACGAAGCGGTCGGACGAAAGGTATGCTTAACGACTCTTTGACTTGCACCCAATCTGTATTATGATTTACGAAGGTGTAGCGAACTCGATTTGTTCTTCGGTTCTTCGGCAGTCGTTTGTTTACCTTTTGCCTTTCTCCTCCCTTGCCTTCGTCAAGGGAAGTCAGATTTGTATGACTATTGGCGGTATATTTTACTGAAGTTTCTCTGTACCATCTTTTGCATCCACGTGTGACAAATGATTTATGACACAGTTTCTTGCTTATCTTGCTTTCCCTGTTCCGTCGGCATTCAATGTGTGACAGGTTCAGCGTCTGACCAGCGAGCTCGAAGCTGCGAAGGAGGACAACGCGCGCCTGCAGCAACAGCTGGAGTCTGGTGCCGGCAGAGACCGAGCGTCCACGTCCGAGCTTCGTCTACAATTGCAACAGTCCACGGCGGACGCTCAGCGATTCGCCGAGGAGGTATCTCGACTGCGCCAGCTCCTTTCAACTAGTGCCGAGCAGGAGAAGAAGTTCGAGGAGAGAATGTCGCAGAGCTCGTTGGCTATCCGGACTAGTCAACATGAAGTGGATCAGCTTAAGAGAGCGTTGCTTGAGACGGCGTCAAAGGTAAATGCTCTCTCTCACTCTGACACGTGTCCACTCTCAGCTTATGGAGATAGAGAATCTGATCTCTGTATGTATCGGAATATTTGTATGTTTATTTGCCTGCCTACCTGCGTGCAGGCAGCGTGTGTGCGTGTGTGTTTGTATGTATGCGCACCTCTCTCTCTCTCTCTCTCTCTCTCTCTCTCTCTCTCTCTCTCTCTCTCTCTCTCTCTCTCTCTCTCTCTCTCTCTCTCTCTCTCTCTCTCTCTCTCTCTCTCTCTCTCTCTCTCTTTCTCTCTCTCTTTTTCTCTCTCTCTCTCTCTCTCCACCTCCATCTCCATCTCTCCACTTCTTGAACTTTGTCTCCCTGCTCATTCTGTATTTGCAATGGATGCAGTGAATCTGCCTTAAACCTCTCCATACGGATATTGAGTATATCGTCTTTCTCATCGTTTCTTCCATTCTTTCAACACGGTGTAATTATTGTCGGCAGGAATCTACCACTTCGGAAAAGCTGCGTACTCTCTCCTGGGAAAACGAGCAGCTAGCTATAGAAGTAGCAGCACTCAAGGAACAGAATACCCTTGCCGAAACAAGGCACCAGCGTGAGGTGGAAAGCCTACGGCAGCCACTGCTGAGCAATGATGCCAGTCCGGATGCGAGATTTTCTTTGCTGAGTAGGTGCTACTGTGCTACATGCTCTGTGTGCATGTGTGTGTGTGTGGGGGGGGGGGGGGGGGGCATGTGTTCATTTGTGCATGGTGTGTGGTGTTTACATGCACACTTGCTTGCCAGTGGGGGTTGAATCCCCTGTTCTTTCATTCTTGTTTTTTTAGAGTCTGTGCTGTCAACAGGCTTGTCCACGTGACTTACATTAAATTTTGATATCGACCACCATAGCATGACATGTTTTTTCACTACAAAGGCAGCTCACAACGCACACCACACAAACAGTACTAGTACTTACTACTAGTAGTGACTGACCGTTGTTTCTCTCCTGGGAAGGGAAAAAAGACCCAAGTGCCATCAGTATGTGTGGCACGTGTTGCTAGTTACCTTTGGAGTGCATAACACCATAGCATGGTAAAATAATTCTAATCAGATATTCTACTATTGTGCTTTCCATGCCCAGCTTCACACGGCCTTGCTCGCAGCAAACCAGCATTGCATCAGCAGTTCTCTGCAGACTCGGCTGGCGGCGGTGTTACGAGCACGGACGGTCCCACGCCGACGGCGTTGTCATCCTTGCCGAGTGCATCGTCATCGATACGAGCTGCCGGTGGTATGCCGTCGGCTGTGTCAGCGGAATCACCAGCTTTGCCCGGTGGATCAGCGGCGTCGGGCATGCCAGCGAGGGATGTCACCTCGGTACGCGGACAGCTGGGCCGCAAACACAAGTATGTACTGCCACCCACTTTGTGCTTGTCTACTGCATAATGTATTCCACAATCAGACAATCTTCTCTTGAAGCGACAAACCTCGGTGATGGACTTGCTCTCTCTCGGTCTCTCTCTCTCTCTCTCTCTCTCTCTCTCTCTCTCTCTCTCTCTCTCTCACTCTCTCTCTCTCTCTCTCTCTCTCTCTCTCTCTCTCTCTCTCTCTCTCTCTCTCTCTCTCTCTCTCTCTCTCTCTCTCTCTCTCTCTCTCTCTCTCTCTCTCTCTCTCTCTCTTGTTTCACCATGTTGTGTCATGTGTGCTGTTTCTATCTATGTGTCTGTGTCTGTGTGTGCAGAACTATTTCCGGCCTCCAGACGTGTTTATCGTCTCTGCGGTAAGCCACACTTAGCACACGTAGCCTTGTTTATCACATCGCCATGTGCACCATTTCTCTGATCAATGTACTTCACGGGATACCAGCTTACTACCAATTTAGTGATTTGAACACACTGCTCAAACAGATTCATTTCGGAAAGCTTGGAGAGAGTCGACCTTCACTACCACGTACTTAACGAGAGAGCTTGGAAGCTCAGGGCCCTTCGCTATGCTTTTTTGCCTAGCTCATCATGCATGTTATTAGAACTGATGGAACTTTCTCTTTGGCCCCTACTTCGTTGCGGTTTTATAGTGTTTTACGTCGACCATGACGGCTACAATGCCCAACCATACCACAATGAACTGATCGGCTACATCATTGTATTGCAAAAAAGTTTTCATCTGGTCGAATAACATTCATGATGAGCTAGGCAAAAAAGCATAGCATAGGGCCCTGAGCGAAAGAAATAAACTTTCTCTTTACATTGAAGGGTAATACGACACTGTCTACGACCTTGATGACCTAGGCAAAAAGGATAGGGATGTTATACATTTTTCATTTCTTCTATTTTTCAAGACTTAACCTGGGATTCGAACCCGCACTATCGCCTTGCATGCATTCCCCCGATACACTTCGCATACACACTCATTCTTCCGAGTTGCTTCACGTTATGATCTTGCATTTGACAATCCTATTTGAATATTGTGGCCAGCTGTCTTTGATGGTACAGGACAGGTACGGGATAACGCCAGGCATGCCGATGGCACAAACAAACAAACACAGAATTAAAGCTGTGTGGACCCTGGCTAGCGCCAGACGTTACTGAAGTAACGTCTTTTGCATAGCTACGGGAATTAAATGTAGGTATTAGAAGATAAGTATAAAATGTAGATATTGGAGTGTTACGATTGGTTGACAAGTGGCTTGAGCGTCAATGTTTTGGCATGGTCTCCATGACTCGAAACTGAGCCGTGTATGTTGACAGGCTTAGCAAGGTCTGGGCTGTACTGCCCAGGCATGGCTATGTGTGACTGTTCTTCCTCAGTGGCACCATTCGGTATGTCCCAGTGTATTCCTCTCATTCGATTTCAATACTTTCCTGCTCCCGTGTTTTATGATTGCTACTGCAGAGGAGAAATGGAGAAGCTCCAGCAGCAAATGGCTCGTCAGAGCGATGCCGTGCAAGCGTCGAACTCTACTTGTCGGTAAGCCCCCACACCCACCCGGCAGCGTATGATAATGCTCTTGCTGTCTGGAGATCCTCGTGTGGTGGCTGCTTGTACATGCGTAGCGATGCCAGCTAAATTAGTTTGGCCAAACCGCCCTCAAGAATTCCATTGAACTAAACCACAGTAAAACCTGTGTTTGCCTGACTCTGTGTACCAAGCGGAATCCTGTATTGACTGGACAAATTGTCATGCACCGACGCATATGCTTATAACAATGTAGCTGTACTTTTGCTGGCCCTTCTCGAACACTTGTTTATCTGCCCTGCCCTCGCCTGTCGTGTGCAGAGCTCTGGAAACTCGTCTGCGTGGTATCAAGCCCGGTGGCAGCACCTCATCGTTGCATCGTATCGGTGTGTCACCTACCTCTGCAACACCACCACCACCACAGCTCTCACGGCCAGAACGTGACGCATGACTCTCTGCTTGATGGTGGTGGTGTAGAGTACCAGTACACGGCTGCAGGGCTTTGTGCACTGTAATAATAATGCCATCGGCTCTGAAGTACCTTGCACACTTTCATAGGTGTTGTGCAGTGTGCTGATGTCATCCTCCTGCAGCGATCTGCATGCTTTCTATCAACGATGTCATTATCTATGGCGACTTGCACACTTTCATAGGTTGTGTGCCGTGTGATGTCATCACCCAAGGTGGCTTGCACACTTGCGTATCTTCTGTGCAGTGTCACAATGTCATCATCATCCGGGGTTTCTTCACAATGTACTTGTGGCATAGAGTTCACAGTACTCTTACACGTGTGAACTCTGCGCTGTGCGGTGTAATATCTCTGCAAACTTATGTTATGTTGACATCCGCAGGCGTTTGTCATAGCGCGTCCTTCCTTTTCTAGAACACCTTTAGTCGCAGAAAACCTGCATGATGTCCGTTAGGTTTTGCACAGAATGATGTCGTCACCATCTCATGCTGCTCCACGTCTTATACTAGTCCGCTGTCCTTTGGTGCACTATAGCTGTGCGACGGGCCATGGATAGAGACTACTAGAGCTCAAGTCGTATCTGTCGCTATGACCACCCTGCACACTTTTACAAGTATCCCTTGTGCACTCTAGTCCCACTGACTGTGATGTCGGTGGTGTTTCGATTATTTTTATATTGCTACTCTTCGTCCATACTGTTTCTTGCCTGTTATACCTCGCTCGCCTGACGCACCCGTACATGCGCATGATTATTTTTATACTTTTTCTGTTTTACGTGTTTTAACTTTTTGCCAAACCATCGCTGTAATAATATTATTGCTGGCCACCACAGTCACGTGACTTACGTTCACACAAGCATTGCCACTGAACATTCAATTCACAGGCAGCCGAAACATTTTCGCCGAACCTGAACACTGTATTCTAGAAAGAATTTTTGAAAGTTCCAGGACCGCGATTCGGTCTGTATTAGCGATCAAAGTGCTTTTGGTCTTGTTGTTTGGTGCTGCGGTCCCAAGTACACCGTCTTCAGTGAAGACTCGGTGTAACCTACTTCCAAGGCAAGGGCTAACAATCTCACCTGTGCTCTAGCCGAGGACTCTCAGGTCAAGCCTTTGGGTAATCCTGAAATAAAGAAAGATTATAATGCCTGGTGTTGCATAATGCAGCTGGAATCTTCAGAGAACTACTTCATGTACAATACATCAAGAGTACAAGAGTCATGCAGTACAGGACTGATTCTACCGGTTGCGTTTATGCAGCTTGTGTGTGCCTTTGAAGGCTTTGCAGCCCGGCGAAGACCCGAGTGATCTATTCATAGAGTTGGGCATCGGGCCGGGGTGCACCGGTGGTGGGTGTGCAGAAGGGGGGGGGGGGGGGGGGAGCGCAACGACCTCCTTGAAAAGCTTTCTGCGCTCGTCACGTTGGCCATAGGGCTTGAAAGTGCTACGTCACTCCATAGCAATGGCATAGCAACAATTTGAAAAATTCGAAAACTGGATCCACCTGGATCCAGTTTTTGTATGGATCCAAGCACATTTCAAGCGGTCTCACTCACAGCAAGGTGATGTTGCAAGTGAAACTGACTGATTTGGCTAGTGGGGGCGGGGTGACAACTGGTGGCGGAGTAAAAGTTGCACCTGCATACGACATGAGTGGGTTGCTATGCACCCACATACTGAGGCAATAGCAAAGTCACACCTTAGTGGATCCAAAATAGAAATCTGATGTCAATTTACTACTCCCAGGCCGTTTTTGACGTCATCACTTTCAAGCCCTATTGCAACCAGCCGGGTAAACATGCTCATCAGCATTCTATTGTACTTACACTTTTTTTACAGTGGGTGTTGGACCATTGGCATTGGCATTGCAAAGAAGGAAAGCAACGAGTTACGTAACCGGTCGTTACACATTATTTTTGCAAACACACTTTTAGTTTATAGCAAAGAAAAGGACCAAGGAACTACAAGTTACGCCAGGCTATTGACAGTATTGTCCACTAACACCACCAGTTACTTTAACAATCACCTCATGCGATAACATTGCACTGTTTTACTGAGGCTCTCGGTTTTGCATGATTCTTGTTCGCTTAGCTTCTCCTCGATCGTCGAATCTTTAGTCTAGAGCCACACGAATTGTGTGATATGTTGCTTTGCGTCCTTGAATCGTGGTTTGACCGTATTGTCCAATGGTTTTGCCAGTATCGTCATCAACATGCATGATTGTACATCCACCAACGTGTTACGACCTTCACACTAATCGCAGCTAAGACTTTCCAGCTTGTGCTTGTCTTGGTTGCGCGCACATTCCCCTCCTACGTTATTCCTGTAACGTAGAACCTTCGAGTAAGAAGTTGGGAGGCTGTTGGACTGTCACTGTGAGTGTGCGTCCAAGACGTGCTAGAGCTGATGGGCAGTTAGTGTGGAACGACAGCGTAACTTGTAGTTCCGGAAGTAATTTTAGTTGGTCCTTTTCTTTGCTATGCATTTATCCTTGGCTCTCCATCCGAGTCCATACGTTTAGTTTGCTTTCTCGTCAAGGAGTCGTCCTATAATGTCGGTGACGACCCTCTGCCTGGTTCAAGTCAGTGTAGACCTACCTGTTAGTGTTACTGTTTACATTAATAATGTTTACTAGTGTTTAGTGTTATCATGGTTACGGGTAGATCTACATTGTTTTGTAGTTGTTGCAAATGTGCTCACCTAGTACTAGATCTGTCTCACCCTACAACGATCGGCTGCGGTTACGTAGATCTACGTGTTACATAATGAGCATGGTGCCACTAACAACTAACTAACTTACTTGCACTGCCTTGCCAGTGGCAGTGTTCACACTTTCCCAGCTTCAGTCCCGGTTTACATGTAGTTCTGACTCTGACTCTCTGAGTGAGAAAATGCTAGTTTGAGTTTGACTGCCCGAGTCTGCAACATCATGTACGTGTGCATGACCTGTGAGTGTGAGGTAACAGTTCGACTGCTCGCAGCTCGCATTCAGCAACCAATACATGACGTCGACTGTGTTCTGCCATCCTCACGACCGAATCCGCGTTATCTATCACATGCAAGCACTTTTGTAGTGCACTAGCGACAACACTGGCGATCGCAGGATGAAAAATCAGTTCAAATGCCTGATGGCAACACTAAAACTAACTTGAACTATTTTATCGGATAGACACCATTTCTACGAATCAGTTTAGCTGATTTCGCTGACATAGCTACGGCCACGTCCCTAGCTTGAGAATGGCTGAACCTGGACATAGCGAGGAGACACCGCCGCAAAGCGCCTCCGCTGCCTCATTGCCGGTAAGTTCCGCTTCCTTGCCAAACTGCTTGTATCACCTCTATCTAGTGTTGAACATGTTGCTAGAAGAGAAGTACTAGTCGTAGCGACTGAATTTCTTTGCGAGAGCACAATTACTGCGAACCGTCATGTCTCCTCCGCTCGTCAGTAAGCGGAAGGATGCTTTCCCGACGGGTATACAATACGAAGGGTAGCTATGGCGCTGCGATTTGTGGAAAAAAAACTGCGCCGAAAGCAATGAAGGTTTCTTGGAGTGGTTTGTTGTTCAAAGCGTGGCGTGCACTGCAAGGGTTCAGTAGCGTCCGCTGTTAGCCTTCCTGGGAGGGGAGAAAGGGCTTGCAACGCTGCGGGCGGAAGCATTCGATACCCTTACCCACTGGAGACAAAACGGGCGGAAAGACTCGAGTTGTTTTAGTATTGATAGCGGGCAGTCCTGTACCTACCGTTTGCTTTTAGGACAATTGGTCGTGAACATCCTGATCGCACACAGAGCATGCATGCACCGTGGAGTACTACCGGTCTTCTTGATCCCCCCCCCCCCCCCCCCCCCCGCCTGCCCCCCCCTCCTCTTCCTCGTGACTTGTACACTCATTATCCAAGTCTTTGGAGGCTGTTGGTGAGTGGTACGGCCCGGGAGGGGGGGGGGGGGGGGGGTTGTCCGTAATGACTCGTTATCCAAGCAGCGACGCGACCATACTGCACTGTCGTCAGACTTCCTAGAGCCATTTTTTGGTTGAATAATTCTCTTTGCGTGGAATATAAAGTACTTTTCGAAGACCTTAGCAGTACTTTTCCAGTTATTTGACCTTGGATAAACAGTACATTGGATAAACAGTACCTTGGATAAACAGTACATTGGATAAACAGTACATTGGATACACAGTACATTGGATAAACAGTACATTGGATAAACAGTACATTGGATAAACAGTACCTTGGATAAACAGTACCTTGGAAAAACAGTACCTTGGATAAACAGTACATTGGATAAACAGTACCTTGGATAAACAGTACATTGGATAAACAGTACATTGGATAAACAGTACATTGGATAAACAGTACATTGGATAAACAGTACCTTGGATAAACAGTACCTTGGATAAACTGTACATTGGATAAACAGTACATTGGATAAACAGTACATTGGATAAAGAGTACCTTGGATAAACAGTACCTTGGATAAACAGTACCTTGGATAAACAGTACCTTGGATAAACAGTACCTTGGATAAACAGTACATTGGATATACAGTACATTGGATAAACAGTACATTGGATAAACAGTACATTGGATAAACAGTACATTGGATGAACAGTACATTGGATAAACAGTACATTGGATAAACAGTACATTGGATAAACAGTACATTGGATAAACAGTACATTGGATAAACAGTACATTGGATAAACAGTACATTGGATAAACAGTACCTTGGATAAACAGTACATTGGATAAACAGTACCTTGGATGAACAGTACCATGGATGAACAGTACCTTGGATAAACAGTACATTGGATAAACAGTACCTTGGATAAACAGTACCTTGGATAAACAGTACCTTGGATAAACAGTACAGACTTTTTTTTATGTCCTTGGAGGTAGGCCACGCTGAAGTTTCACTGCAAGAAGATGATGATTGTGATGTTTGGCTTGTGTTCATCGTTGTTTTACAGACCAAGGGGTTGCAAGTGCATGTCATCAACCTTCGCTCTACACAGCATGACCCTGGCAGCAGCAGCAACAGGAAGCGGACGGCGACCGTTGTACCGGTGCAGGACAGGGAGGAGCACACGCCCACGCTGAGACGAACTCCGGCTGGCGTCACCACGGCAACCTCCGCATCGCCAGTCGGCGTCGTCGTCAGAGCCTCGGTGCCGTCGGCGTCTTGCGGCCGGCAGCGGAGAGGGAGCGAATCAACGAGCACTCCCCGGCGACCCGTGCGCCTGACACGGCCCAGCGCATCGCTAGGCCAGTCCTACGGGTCGATGGAGGAGCTGAGGAATATCGGTGAGATTGCTGCTCTGTGCCCTCCCCCCCTGCTCTGTGCCCCCCTGCTCTGTGCCCTCTGCTCCGTGCCCCCCCCCCCCCTGCTCTGTGCCCCCCCCTGCTCTGTGCCCCCCTGCACAGTGCCCCCCTCTGCTCTGTGCCCCCCCCCCCCCCCTGCTCTGTGCCCCCCCCCCCCCCTGCTCTGTGCCCCCCCTGCTCTGTGCCCCCCCTGCTCTGTGCCCCCCCCCTGCTCTGTGCCCCCCCCCCCTGCTCTGTGCCCCCCCCCTGCTCTGTGCCCCCCTGCTCTGTGCCCCCCCTGCTCTGTGCCCCCCCCCTGCTCTGTGCCCCCCCCCCCCCTGCTCTGTGCCCCCCCCCTGCTCTGTGCCCCCCCCTGCACAGTGCTGTGCTGTACAGTATTTTCCGTAGTATAAAAAAATTCACGGTTCGCGTGAGACTCGGCCAAAGGCCCAGCTTTCCGCATCCGCAGGAACGCCACCACCCTGCGGCGGAGCTCCCTAAACCTCACCACCACTGCCACGATTCAGGTTGTGTGTGCTTCCACTAGCTGCATCTCATGTTTGGCATTTAAGTGGTCTTTGTAAAAATAAAAAACCCTCTTGGAGTATAAGATGTACTTTAAACACTAGCACCCTGCCCCCAAAACAAAAAATCCATTGCAGCTTTTACTACGATAATCAAATTAACAATACTAAACAAGGTAGATGTCTGTATTTCATGACTCATTGCCATCAGTTCAGCCAGTGACTCTGTGTGATGACGTGATGACTGATGATGCCAAACAAGGTCGATACAGCTAGCTGCCTGGAGGTTGAGTTGGATTGATGTGCATGTAGTTGCCATTCAGAATATTTTCTTCCTTTTAAAAATGTTTACCCTATGGTTGATGTATAATTATCACACCGATATTTATTCTTGAGATCCCCTTGATTTAGGCTTCTGCCTTTGAGGAATCCCTCAAAATTAATAATAACAATAATTGTCTCTTGTACTCACCACCCCCCCCCCCCCCCCCCAACACTCTTCTTCTGTATTAATGCGTTTTCTTTGTGTTGTATGCTGTGCGTGTGCTGTATGGTGTGTGTTTGTGTGTTTGCGCGTGCATGTGTTTGTGCATGCGTACATACGCACACGCATGTGGTTGTGTGTGTGTGTGGGGGGGGGGGTGTATATGTGTGTGCATATGTGTTTACCCGCAGAAGACACATCCCGTGTACTGGACCAGGGTTCTGAGGCCAGTGATCATGTAGCTGTGGGAATGCAGGTGGAAGTTCTCAGGCAGGCAAGACCAGCTAGCTTGGTATCGCCTAGAGAAGGTATGCCGCTGTAGTGAGACCCTACACTGGGAAACCGTTTGCATACTTTTACAAATGAGTTCATGAATGAGTGAGCTAGTGTTTCATAACCCCATCCTGCAAGAATGGATGGTGGAACGAGTGTGTTTTCCGATACAGTTTTAGAGTGATCGTAGTCGTGAGCGGGGCATACTATTGAGCGGGCATATCTGTGAGCCTGCATATTAATTTTGTGAACGTGTATATTTATGAGCGCCCACATATTTGCCAGAGAGCATGCTTGTTAGCGCGCATATCCGTTAGCGTGCATAGATGTAATTGCTAACTTGGATGGTCGCGAATGTGCGCAGGCGTGAGCGTGCATAGTCACACTCACATTAATTTCACATGTCTGGTCACCTATCACGATTGCAGAGGACACCCGGGGAGGAGGAGGAGGCTATACGCCCTCGTCCAGAGGCCGGCACACACCGTCAGGTCGCGCATACACCCCGGGCGAGGGGCATGCCCCAAGCAGTGGTGCCTCGACCACCACCACCTCGCAGCCCCCGGGTGGCCACCCAGTGCAGCAGCAACCCAGCACCCTGCACACCGGGTTCTGTCTGGGCCAGGTGCTTAGCAACGAGACAGTGACAGCATGCTCACAAGGACAATTGGGCATCGTGCGCTACATCGGCACTACTCGCTTTGCCCGTGGTGAATGGATCGGAGTGGAGATGAGACGGAAGGGCGGTGAGTAGATGTGCACAGACTCGGTGCGCGCTGCTGATATGTGATGGCGAGATAGGTTGTTGTAGTTAAGTGGAAATCTAAACAGACATAATGTTTATAACAGTGGACCCACTCAATGGTTGTCAGAGTCAGGTAAGGCATGGAGCCGCAGTCGTAATTGCTAAGACCAAGCTGGTGAAAGCATTTGAGTCACAAAAAATGTCAAACAATCGACTTATCACACTTTAGGAGGAAGTAAAAAGAATCCAATATTTCATCATGGAGCCATCATCAGGATTGATGTTTCAATTGTAACGATTGTAGAACGTCAAGGGGAGGACAAGGTGCATGCGTGTATGTGGACGGGTGTGTATGTGCATGTGTGTGTGTGTGTGTGTGTGTGTGTGTGTGTGTGTGTGTGTGTGTGTGTGTGTGTGTGTGTGTGTGTGTGTGTGTGTGTGTGTGTGTGTCCCAATATAATGGTGAAGTGGTATGTGCAGTCAATTTCCAATCGAGAGGTTGTGGGTTCAGTTGCCGACGATTATGGTCGCACACGTCTTTCTTCTCTTTCTCATTCTCCTAGCCCTTCTTTCATTCTCCTGGGTGGTTACCAACAGCCAGTGCATGCTGGATTATGTGGTGTGGTGCGCGTGTGTCAAAAAATGAAGTTAGCCCCATCCCTGACACAAATAAGTCAACAAAGAGGCATCTTTGGATTGAGTAGTGCTGATTTCGAAACAACTGGTTTGAAGCTCAAAGTAGAGCTGATGTTAGCTCAGAGCAGATCTGCAGTTAGCTCATAGCAGAGCTGCTGTTAGCTCAGAGCAGAGCTGCAGTTAGCTCATAGCAGAGCTGGTTTTAGCTCAGAGCAGAGCTGGTGTTAGCTCAAAGTAGAGCTGCGGTTAGCTCAAAGTAGAGCTGCTGTTAGCTCAAAGTAGAGCTGCTGTTAGCTCAAAGTAGAGCTGCTGTTAGCTCAAGGTAGAGCTGCTGTTAGCTCAAAGTAGAGCTGCTGTTAGCTCAAAGTAGAGCTGCGGTTAGCTCAAAGTAGAGCTGCTGTTAGCTCAACGTAGAGCTGCAATGCTTAATGGATGTAATATAGCGCAAGGCAGAGCCGCAGCAAATAGCTATATAACACCAGTTGTGAGAGTGGACCCGATTAGTGGGTACGATAATTATAATGATGGTGTGAATAAGTTGGATAGGGAGGGATGGTGGGAAAAGAAACACTGCTGAAGCATGATCCGTTGTCTGGAAGAGCACAACTGGGCAAGCAAGATTTGTTTTTCTTTTCAGCAAAACGGGCTGGTGCCATTTGTGATTACGCAGCAAAACAAAGCGCATGACGTCAGTCTTGAATGCAGTACAAAGCAATGCAGTGCAGTGTGTGCGCTAGTTCGGATTGTTGCTAACAAGTACTAGCACAGCTAGTACACCAAAATAATGTAAAAAAGGAGAAGGACAACATGTTACGAGTTATGACTGACTGTCCACCAACGTAACAAGATCTTATACAGTCAGCGAGTGCAACAAAATGACACAAAACTGACAAGGAGTACTGAGACATTCGGCGACCTGACACCTAGCTCCAACACTTCTCTAAGGCGCAAACCAACAACCTTCCAACTTGGATGGCTCAGGTTCGGAAAGGTCCAAGAAGGGAAGGAAAGCGCAACAAAGAAGAGCACGAGCTACGCATCACGGCAACAAAGAATGCCGAATGTTACTGGATGATGACGAAACTAGTAAGACTATTGGACATACCGGCCTTACTACAACTCGAGTTAGTCATAACTCGTAACATTTTGTCCTTCTCCTTTTTCACCATCATTTAATTGGCTCACCATCCGAGTTAAAGAATGGAAAAGAATGGAAAATGAAAAAGGATTCGCTGGTCAGAAAAAGCATTTTCAATCAGCTTTGTGGTGTAGACCAGGCTGAATTAGTAGCGGTCAATTCATCAGCCTTGCAAGCTGTTGAATGGTGTAATCCCAGCACAAGTTGTTATGTCTAACATAGCTGTTTGCTATCATCGCTTCCACGATGGGCAGGTCTGAGGTGTATGTGTGTGTGTGTGTGTGTGTGTGTGTGTGTGTGTGTGTGTGTGTGTGTGCGCGCGCGCGCGTGCATGTACTTGTATGTTCTAGCGTGCATGTATTTGTATGTTGTAGCGTGCATTCCGGTGTACTTGATGGTAAACTGTACATGTCTGCATATCCTGAATCCGATGCAGAGGGACGGAATGACGGCTCTGTGGACGGCGTGCGCTACTTTCACACCAACACTGGCCGTGGACTGTTTGTGCGCCGTTCTAGTGTGCGAGTGGTCAACAAGACTGAGACTAGACGTCTCTATACTGCACAGACCTACATGCACTCACCTGTGGCGAACGCCCAGGCCAAGAGACCACTACACTACCAGCAACAGCAGCAGCAGCAGTATTCCCAGCAACAAGGAGGCCAGCAGCAGCAGCAATACCAGCAGCAATACCAGCAACCACAGCAACAGCAACCGGCGCAACAACAACCGCAGCAACAGCAACCGCAGCACCAACTGCAGCAACAACAGACGCAACAACAACAACCGCATCAACAACAACCACAGCAACAGCAACCCGCGCAACAACAATCGCAGCAACAGGAACCGGTGCAACAACAACTGCAGCAACAACCTCCGCAGCAACAACAACCACAGCAACAACAACCACAGCAACAACCGCCGCATCAACAACAACCGCCGCAGCAGCAACAACCGCAGCAACAACAACAGACGCAGCAGCAACAACCGCAGCAGCAACAACCGCAGCAACAACAACCGCAGCAGCAACAACCGCAGAATCAGCAGAAGGAACCGCAGCAACAGCTCCAGGAACTCCAGCATCAACATCACCACCACCACCAGCGGCAGCAGCAGCAACAACAACCGCAGCAGCAACAACAACCACTGCAGCGGCAGCAACCGCAGCAACAACAACCGCAGCAACAACAACCGCAGCAACAACAACAACAACCGCAGCAACAACAACAACAACCGCAGCAACAACAACAACCACGGCAGCAGCAACAACCGCAGCAACAACAACCGCAGCAACAACAACAACCACTGCAGCGGCAGCAACCGCAGCAACAAAAACAACAACCACGGCAACTGAAGCTGAAACCCCTATCTCCTCCATCAGCACAGGAAGGACAACGCCAGTTTCTGTCGCCACGGCAGCAACAGACGCTTCGTTGTCTGCGGCAACATCAACTGCAGCGTCTACAGACTGACGTTGCGGATGTGACTTCAACTGACCAGCTGACAGAAGAGGATGTAGGCTATTTAGAGCAAGCACTGCCGCGTATCTTTTCCCCTAGTCAAGAGCCACAGGCTGGCGAAACTACGCAGTCCTCTGCAGAAGACGCAGTTGGCATGCAGTTGTCACACCCTGAACTGATTGCCTCGGTCCCAGACGAGGTACAGGAGCAGCTTGCAGTGCCTGAAAAACAGCAGCCTTCCACTCTGCGACAGCAGCAAAAGTCTGATTCCTCGGAGTCGGAAGAACCAGAGCAACAACCATGGCAGCAGCAGCCGCAGCAGGGGCAGCAGCAGCAACAGAAGCAGCAGCAGCTGACTCAAGAGCTGATCAACGAGGATGTTGTACGTTTGCATGTGAGAGGTGAATGTGTGCATGTACCTCGTGTGGCACCCGTTATCATTTATCTAGGAAAATCTGAATCATCGGACCCACAAGAGGGCCAAACAGACAGCTCTTCCATGCACAACGATCCATCATCCCATCGCAACAACAGCCCATCATCCAATCGCAACGACAGCCCATCATCCATGCCACTCGCACCTAGCAAACTCCTGAGCACCAGGGAAACGAAATCCGAAGACTTTCAGCACGTCGGATCGTCGGGGATGGACTCGTGGAGACACAAAGAGGCTGCCGGGGAAAAATTGCTCAACAAACAAATTGAACGCTCATTCAGCTTCCCTGTTATGTCGCATCCCAAGCAGCACTTGGAACTATTACTGAGAGATTTGCCGACAAGCGCTGGCACCCCGGTAGCTAACAAAGACGGGTGCGAAACGAGACAGACAACCTTCCCGTGTCTGCCGACGGGATCCGCTCAAAGCATGCCTTCGCTCCCGCAAGTCGACGAGGTTATCATCCCAGTGGAAGTGGATGACGACGACGGCTCCACCTCGCGTCAGGAGCAAGAGCGATTGCTATTACGTCGCCACCGCTGTGACTCCGAGCCGACGAGGACCTCCGGACGGGGCTTTGATGGCGTCTTACATGGCACGAGACGTCGGAGGTCGCTCACGTCGGAAGCTGGCAATCGTCACGACCGTGATATAAGCGGCGCAGGGAGCGGGTCCTCAAGCGAAGGTTCCGACACACTGTACATAACGGGACTTGTATCGCCGTACTCTTCCTCGGAAGCCGTCTCCCGTAGCAACAGCAATAGCCCGAAGGGTTCTAGCGAAAACGTAAGGCAGCACACCATCCCGTTGCTATCGGTGCCACATGGTCTACGCATGCCACCGCACCGTCGAGGCAGCAGTTTGAGCGAGCCCACGCTGTCGGCAGTGCCAGAGGCCTCTGTGCCAGTCCTACCGGCCCGAGGCCACTTGGACCGCACCGGCAGCAGTACCAGCTCCAGCTCCAGTAGCAGCTCGCAAGCTGGAGTTGGAGTGGACCCGTCTCCGGCAGCACTGGCTGCAGTAGACGCTCCGACAGCCTCTGCTGGACAGTCGCAGGCTTTGCAATACGTTGTCCAAGACGCGCTTCAAGGCCTGTCCGACTTGTCCCTTTCTCAATCTAGCATAGCTGCAGGTAGACAGGCGATGCCCACAAGCCCGAGCTGCCAGCAACAGGGAGCTGGCGAAGGGCGCGGCAGAAGTACAAGCCTGTCCGTCGAGCTCATGACACCGAAAACACCGTCGTTAGAAAGCCTGCGTGAGGAACAGCTGCATTCAAAGGAGCGTTGCAGAAGTGCAAGCGTGGCAGTTACTCTACCAGCACCCCATGCATCGTCAGCAGAGAAATCGGAGAATGAACAGCAGATTGAGGCCATACTGGCTGTCCAAGGAAAAAGCATGAGAGCAAGCTCAACTGTAGGGCCGAGCACTCCACCACCAACATCGATACGGCTACAAGTACAACAGAACCAACAGCAGAATTCACAGCAGCAGCAGCAGCAGCAGCAGCCGACCATACCAGGAGGTATTCAAAGTGCACGTTTGTCCGCAGACCTTTCAACGCCAATAACACCGGCAGTGGAGAAGCAAAACAGACAGCAACAGAGTCCGCCGCAGCCGGCCATTGAACTGCGCGGTAGAAGCGCGAGCTCATCTGCGTCCCTAGTAACTCCGATGTCAGCATCAACAAAGGATCAACAACAGAGCGACCTGTCGTCACATCAGCGTGGCGAGAGACGAGGCAGAAGCGCGAGTATGCCTGCCATGCCAGCGATTGCACATGCATCATCAACACCAGAACCGTCAGCAAACACACAACAGCAAGATGAACAGCAAGATGAACAGCAAGATGAACAGCAAGATGAACAGCAGCCGTCCAGTGAGGAACGCAGCACAAGCGAAAGCCTATCCTCAGTGCCGACGACTCGAGAAACACAATCCGCGGAAACAAAACCGGAAGAACATCAGCGTATGCAACAACCGGCCATTGAAGGACAAGGAAGGAGTGCAAGTTTATCCGTGGCACCAATGCCTTCAGCGGCACCATCAGCCAACACACAACAAGCAGAACAGAAAATCCTGCGGTCACCTTTGCGCGACGAGCGCTATAGAAGCAAAAGCCTGTCTGTAGCTGTGGCGACGCCAACGGCAACCGCAGACCAATCAGCTGGGACGGAGAAGGCAGAACAGGACAGTAGTGCGTCGCCACGGCAACACAGCCGGTCCGTGGACATTGTCAAGGTAAAGGCCACTCAGCTTCAATTCGGCCCGCCCGAGGTGGTAACGTTGTCACGAGAGGGGATGGAGACGGAAGACGACGTGCCGCTAGTAGCCAGGGAGGAGAACAAGCAATGGTCTCAGTCATCGTCGGCACGTTTGCAGACTGCATCAGATGCTGAAGTAATTCACCTACCAGGCCTCTCTACACAGCCGCCGGTCTCCGTCAACATTCATTTGGCTGCTGCCAAGGCGCCCGGGCTTCTGGAATTGGCCGTGCCCTGTACCACCAAACTGGGAGCTGAGGTGGAGTTGCCGTTCACAAGTCCAACATTCACCACCACACCGGTGACTCATCCGACGACGGTCGCCTCGAGGCGAACACAGCCGAGTGTCACCAGGCCGCAGCCCCTGTTTCCCCCCATTACCTCCTATCCGCCGGAGCCGTTTAACGCTTGGACGATCCGAATTGATCACAACTACAGTTGGAGCGGAATTCAGGATACTCCAGGGAAACCTAAGACAGACCTAATGCCATCATTGCCACTGGAAGGTGGTCGACCAGTCAAAGGAGCAATCAAGTTGACCCCGGAACAGTACCCGGGCAAGATAGGACCCCTTGCGGGACCCCCTGAACCACCACCACTGCCAGAAGCATTCTCAAGCACTAAGGGTACCTCGCCGATGTCGCAACGCCCCTCCTCTCAGCGGGCAATGGTGGCCTCATCTGTGTCACCTCAATCCTCCTCCCAAATAGCAATGGCTGCCTCATCTTTGTCGCTTCAATCCTCCTCCCAACCAGCAATTGCTGCTTCATCTTCGTCGCCTCAACCCCCCTCCCAACCAGCAAGGGTGGCCTCATCTGCGTCGCCTCGATCCTCCTCTCAACCAGCAATGGCTGCCTCATCTTCGTCGCCAGCGCAGACATTGTCCCAAGGTGTTCCCGTCGCCGCCGCCGCTTCAGTTCTGTCGTCACCTCCGCAGCAGCCCGACAGTCCCAGCTTTGAGTTGCAGCGTGACGAGCTGCGAATGCACGTCACACCCGACTCCCTTGCCAAGCTGCTAGGTCAGCCAGCCGGCCGGAAGAAACAGGGACAACAGGAAGATGAGCAGAAAGAAAGAGGACCTGGCTGGCAAGAAACCGACCTGTAGTCAGTCTCCTGGGCTGTCTCTGTAGCCATTGTGTTCGTAACAGTAACGGTAGCCATTGTGTTCGTCTCCATGGTAATGACTAATGGTAGCCATTGTGTTTGTTTCCAAGGTAACGATAGCCATTGTGTTCGTCTCTACGGTAGCCTTTATGTTCGTGTCCATGGTAAATGTAGCCATTGTGTTTGTCTCTACGGTAACGGTAGCCATTGCGTTTGTCTCTACGGTAACGGTAGCCATTGCATTGCTTGAAATCTTTTGGCCACAGTCCCAGCAACGTTGCATTGTGTAATTGCGTTTTTGCTTTGCTTTTGTGCCGTTCTGGCAAAGAATTGGATAAGTGTGCACGCACCATCATTGTATTGAACCAGACATGTCTTGTACGATGGGGATACGCTAAATGGACTTCAAGGTTTGCCCATCTTCCAGAGGTGATGTCGGCTTTGACCCCCTCACAGACACACACACACACACACACACACACACACACACACACACACACACACACACACACACACACACACACACACACACACGCACGCAGGTGCATGTACATGTACGCATGCAGGTCGACTCACATTATAGTACAAAGTCATACACATGTGCACGCACGTACTATGCACACACACACACACACACACACGTACTTTGAAGCACATGCAATGTACATGTAGATGTACATTCATTATCCAAAGCCTGTCATTGCCTCTGGCACTGCACATACATGTACATGTATAATGTCATGTACATTGTTTCCCCTCACAGTGCTTGGCCCAAGTCTCAACCCATTTTTTCTATGTCTACAGTCCTCGTATGGCCATTGCTTCTTTCTGCATGACTCGATGATCGTCAGTAGTAGATGCAGGGTCCAGGGAGCACTTGCTCTGTGTTTTGGTCGAGAGCATGCGAACGCTAATTCTTCACATCCTGTCCCACGTCCTTTATCACCCCAGTATTAGTAGTAAGGGTGATTGGTGTTATTGTTCTGACCATTGTTGCGCAATCACCCACCGGCGCCGACAATCTGCGTTGACGTTTTCAGCAGACGGAATCGCTCCACCGTCAACTGAGCCGACGCCAGCGTGCAGTCGCCCACCGCCTCCACGATCAGCAATAGAGATAGCATAGCTCCATGTGTATGTAGTTGGTAGTGGGTGCAGCGTATGCGCCCCCCCCCCCCCCTCCCCGTCTCTCCAATGCTGTATGCTGTTATTTTGTTTGAATTTTACAGTTTGTGTTGCTATGTCATGACATCATTTTGTAGCAATGTGATATCATTGCTAGTTCGGTGAGAGTCTAAAGGTTTTCGGAACGTGCGTGCTGTAATCGATATGGCAACACAGCGCTGCTGCTTTTGACTCGTACCACTCGTACTAGCTCGTACTAACTTTAGCACCTAATATTCTGAAAGCATGCATACTTTTGAAGGTCCCTAGAGCGAGCGGTCGTCTTAGATAGGTCGCACTGCATGAGCCCTAGCATAACAGTATTTTGTGCTAGCACACGTAAATCAGTAGTGCATCCACTCAGCAGGAATGGAATGGAGCACTTGAATGAAGCACGCACACACACACACACACACGCACACACACACACACACACACACACACACATACACACATACACGCACACACACACACGCACACACACACACACACACACAAACACACACACACACACACCGGCTAAACAGAACACGCCTGGCAACACGGTCTTGGAGGATAAATAGATTCTCTGCCCACCGAACGGAACGATAACGACTAAGACGACACTGGCACAACGCAACATGACGAAGGAAAAATTTTAAAAAAAGAAAAGAAGAAAAGCTAGCTTCTATCTTGCACAAGGTCGATGAGAATATTCCGAATTGCAACAAAAAAATACTGTGCATAGGCACAACTATCAGCGGGGAAAGTACCTGGGATGACAGCAATAACAGTAAAGGTAAAAAAATGATAGCTCCTTGACTCAAGCTAGATATTATATTGGAGAAAATCTCTGAAATTGATGACGACACATACAGGAAATAGGACGGGACAGAGGGGGGGGGGGGGGTTGAATTGGAATATTTTGACACCGTTCCCCCTAAGTTTGATGAGGTGTTGGGGTGCTAGGCAAAGTAATGACAAACAAAACAAAAAGACGAACAGAAGAAGGGGGTGGGGTGAAGACTGGGAGAATTAATTCCACACGCAAATGATTTGGCTGGAGCATGATGGAATTGTTCTCAGGGATTTGGCACGTCAGATCTGGCAGATGGCAATGTAAATCAGTGCCACTCACAAGCGACAGCTTTCCAGCAAATGGCTTTTTGCATAGAGCGTTTTTAATCGTCCGCTTGTTCGTGCATGTGTGTGTGTGTGTGTGCATGTGTGCATGTGTGCGTGTGTGTGTGTGTGTTTGTGTATGAGAGAGAGAGAGTGCATGTATAGGCACATACCGGATTTGGACGGGAAAGAGGGGGGGGGGGGGGGGATTGAATTAGAATATCTTGACACTGATCCCCCTAAGTTTTGTGGGGTGCTACATGCAGTGAAGAAGGAAGGATGTGTGGGGAGGGGGGGGGGGGGGGGGGGGAGGCTGGGACAACAGATCGCCCATGTAACCGAATCAGCTGGGGCATGCTTGGGAAACCTTCATTGGTTTGTGTCATTAGAATTGTCTTCGAACACCATGACTCCTAAGGCTAAAATCTATTGTAATGTTGGCGAATTGTTGTAAGATCTGATAGAATACACATCAGCAGCAGCAGCATCACAAGCATTGCTGAAGCAAGTGGATTACGCGTCCGCATGCTTGAATCTGCATGTTACACGTTAGGGCGACTAAGCAAATTACACACGACATGTCCACCTGAGAGGTGGCAGCTTTGTGCTCCGTACCTGAACCCATCTGGTTCACGCGCACTGTCTTTTGGCATACTACCCGTGGCGCTACACCTCGAGGCGGGGCGCCAGCACTGAAACCCAGCACACTACTTACCCACCACCCCGCTGGTCCTGGTGCCGAGTTCCACAAGATGATCCGCAGTATGTGATTGTCGACACCGCTGGACTGGGATGAAGGCAGCGTACCGACCGACTGCACAACCCCAACGGGTCGAACAGGAAGCGGCATCACCATGGTAACCTCGTAGACACACATGGATACCCCTGCAATCTGTCTCGCAGCAGATACACACAACATACTGGTCGTTGGATGTACGTCGGGTTCACGCATGTACACTGCAGTTGACAGTGTCACCACGCTCAGCGAATGTAATCACGACGTTGGCTGGTCATCGTACGACGAAGAGGCGTTTCCCGGCGTGCCCCGGTCGGAATTCGAGCCGCTCGACGATCCGGAAGTGGAACTGGAGCTGGCCTCGTCGCGGATATGAGCCAGAGCCTGCGAGTGGCCTTGCATGTGCGCTTGGTGGTGTAGGTGCGGGGGATGCTGCTGCTGTGCTGATCCGTACTGTGGATGGTGGTAGCTGTGAGCTGGTGGGGCAGCTACTGCTCTATAACCGACTGCCGCCGCTGCTGCTGCCGCTGCCGTTGTTGTCGGTGTTGTTGTCGCTGGTCCGTGTGCTTCAGCTGCCGGTGGAGAGTGCATGGCATGCTGCTGGCTACTTGCATGCATGTGAGATTGTTCGCCTGTCCCCGCGGCCGCCGCCGCTGCTGTATGTGTTGGTGGCGGTGGCGGTGGCGGGCCGTGGAGAGCCAGGCTGACGTGCGCTGGCGGCGAGTGCATTGGTATGCCAGTGCTGGCGTTCGCGATCGCATCGGCATGGTGCTGCTGCCGATGATGGTGGTGGTGGTGCTGGTGGTGGTGGTGTGACCCCGGTGACGTATGGTGCTGACCCGACACCACCGGCGCCGCAGGGTGATAGCGAGCGTGCGCTGAAGGCGCCAGGAACGGCTGCTGCTGCTGCTGGTGGTGCTGGTGCTGCGAGCTGTCCGTGTGCGAGGAGCTCGTGGCCGAGTGCCGCGTGTCACCGCCACTGTCTGAGCTCCGTCGTCCGCCGGTGTCCATCGGCGAGTGCTTGATATGCCGGGGGTCTGCGGCTTGCACCCCCTCTTCCTCGTCGCCGGCCTCGCTGCCAGAACTGCTGTCGTCTTCAGAGTCCTCCTCGCCGTCGTTGGCCACGTCCGCTGCGTTGGCCACTGCGGCCGCGTTGGCGTTTGCGTTCTGCGCTTTGCAGACGTGGCGGTTGAGCAAGGCAAAGGTCTTGAACTCCTCGCTACACTGCTCACAGCGCTTCGACTGCCCCTCGTAGTGCGTGCGGATGTGATTCTGCAGCAAAGGAGGAAAAGGAGCCATGGGACACACACGACATGTTGCGTCTTGTTGCCACATGTCAGCATTACATTTCACCCACAAGTACAGTCGTGGCCAAAGAAACCCGACCCACGAGTAGAAAGCAGCGCCAAGGCCCCTGCGGCCCCCACGGCCCTTGAATGGGTTTTTGGACCGTGCATGCTGTAATCAAATGAGCCGCACCATGACAAAAGGGTACAAAGGGTTCTTATGGGAAAAATTTCACAAACGGAGTTATGGATACAGCGCAATGGATGAATTCTCACTGCTTCTGTTGCAAAAAACGCATTCAAAAAGCTTGATAAATCGCAACGAAAACTAATCGAATTCAAAAAGAGAATGTGCACTCTCAATATTGCATACTCAACTTTCAACGAGTTTTCTCAGTTTGATGTCGCGTGCCATAAGCACCCTTTTGTCGTGTCATGGCTCAAATGGGAAGTGCGGCGTTGCTTTGGACTCGTGGGTGGCATTCCTTTGGCCACAACTGTAGGTTACATACATGCATTCTTGCACACATGGCCAGCAATCAAGGACATCTGAGAGTTGTAATTTTTGTACTCCTCCGAGGTGTGATTTTTGGCGTGCTGGGCCAAGCACAAGGAAGCCATCTGCAAAAAACTGCAGAAAATGGTTGTTGTTTGATCCTTTGGTGTAATCTTTGTTTCTAGTCGAAGCTAGTTGCTGTTTGGAGCAGAAACGCTGAAATTGACTATTTTCTGCATGTACTCATACATGTACTCATGTACTCAGGCATGCAGTCTCGCTCGTATTTTAGCTATTTTTCTGGAATGGATGCTGCTCTGCGCCCCTTGGTGAACATTTCCTGCGCTCGTGGAGCAGCTGAAAAGGACCACTGGTATGTCTGGTTCCTGGTTTGAAAGTGGAGAGTCGACTTTTGTGCCTTGAAAAAGGAGTAGAGAGCGATAAAGGTACGTCTGTGGCTGATTTTTGAGTGCTCCTCGTACATTTTTGATCGTGATAGAAATTCTCAGACCAAAGTCAGCGCGATGATGGTCGTACAGTTTTCTTGTGAATTTTTTAGTTGTTTCATCTCGTATCTATGTCAGTATCGTGATGGTGAAGTGGAGAGGGTGATTTTCTTCCTCTAGGCTTCGTTCGGCCGACTTTGCTTCGTCCTCGTTGAAAAGTGATCCTGAAAAAAAGGTCGATTCGCAAAATTATGTTGATTTTCAATGTACGAGATGACATGCGATTGCTGGCTATGAGAGAGTGGAACGCTCCTCAACAGACACTCTGTGTTAACTGCATGTCCACATTCAGACACTGTGTTAACTGCAAGTCCACAGTCAGACACTCTGTATTAACTGCATGTTAACTGCATGGCCACATTCAAGCAGGCATGCTGGAACCGGCTCGCTTGGTCCGGCCATTGCCAGACAAACTTTATTCGAACACCAACGCATGTTTTCTGCTGAGGAGGTCCTGTGTACCCGCAATATCATACACACACTGTATGAAAGCCGAGGGTATGGCTGGACCAAGCATTATTGTTTCCGGCGGTCCTGTCAAGGCATCTCCATATTAGAACATCCCAAGTCACACAGAACGTTCCCTATCATGCAGACCAGAGCCATGCATCCGAAAGCAGAACAAGCTGTGTATCACCGCGAAGCTCACTGGCCCACTTCGACGCCCATCTGGCCACCCCCTCCCCCTCCGACTCCCCCCCCCCCTTCTCCCACCCCCTCCGCCCACCCCACCTGCCCGTCGTCAGAGTTTTCCGATCGCAGCCACACCTACCATCAGCGTTGTTGTACCGGTGAACGGTTTCCTGCAGTACTCGCACGCGTATGGTTTCTCCTGAGGTCCGTCCACCGCTCGCGGACACTCATTGGACACATGGCCTTGCAGAAACTGTCCGTTACTGAAGCCCATACCACACATCATGCAGCGGTAGGGTTTCTCGATTTCTCCACAGCGGCAAACGTGTTTCTGCACAAGGGAGAGAGCGTGCGCGCGCGCACACACACACACACACACACACACGCATGCATGCAAACACACATACACACCCACACACACACACACACACACACACACACACACACACCAACTTGAGAAATGAATGGGACTGACCACTGCAATGTTGGCCTGACAACTGACTTGGATGCTTTCATAAATTGAAACCTTCCAAAGTAAAAGGGCTGTTGGTTTGCGCACTTGAGGTGTATTTTAGCTACTTTAGTTGATGGTCGCAAGCCCAGGGCTCTACCAACCGTGGATGGTTGTAGCAAGGGGCACTGTTTCCGAACACGGTGTTCCACCGCCTTGTAATATGCCGTCAAACTAAAAACATGTCAGGTCCTCTATGGTAAAACAAAATTTTAAAAGTTGCACGGGTTCGCGTACAGGGCGGGTCAAGAACCATCTTTCCGCTTCCACTTGTACGCCACCACCCCATGATCAGGCATCAGAAGTGGCTCCTAAACGATGGGGGAGGTTAGATCAGATCCTCCAACCAGAGGCCAAAGGCCGAAATCCCATTTGCCACATTCATTATGGTCAAAGTCAACATTATCTGTTTGTGCCAAGTTACTATCACACACACTGTTTCTTTATTATTATTTTCAAGTGGCGGATGGCTGCATTCAACCCAAATTCAAATACTCTTCCTCCCCTTTCCCTGAAGACTGCCAAGCACAGTGTACCCACAACCTAACTAGCTGGTACACACACAGACATACACACATGCGCACATGCGTACACACACATACACACACGCGCGTGCGTGTGCGCACGCACGCACCCCCACACACTATCTCTCTTTCTCTGTAAAAAAAATCCAACAAATCTTACCTCCATGTTGAGTCGCTGTCCGAACACCTCTTCGCACTGGCTACATTCCCAGCGATGACAATGACGTCTACTCATGTCCAATCCTCCACGCGCCACAGCCAGCTGCATCCGCTCCGCGCCCGGTGGCATTGGTTGCCCGGGCGGTGCGGGATATCCTACGGGTATGCCCTGTGGTGGCGGCGGGGGCTGATGGTGCACGATGTACTGCGTCGGCGCGGCCTGCAACTGCGGGGCAGGCGTCACGATCAGGCCGCCACCGGACGGGTCCGGCTGCTGCACCATGACAACGTGCTGGCCGGGCGGCGGGGCGCGCGCCGCTCCAATCATGGTGCCATGGTGATGAGGAGGCGGCGCCGCCACCGTGTACATGGACTGCGCGCGGTACTCCAGCACGGGCGTCGTTGCCGTGGCAACGGCTATATGAGTGGGTCGATGAAGTTTCGGTTCAGAGCCTGAGCATTATGTAATACAATAACAAGAAAAAGAAAAAGTTGTCAGAAAGGACCAAAGTTACCCTGATACAGTAAATGGCCCAATATTTGCGTCGCTAAATTTTTGCGATCTCTCAGAACCAGCGAGTGTAGGATGGCAAATGTTCGCGGAGCACTCTGGCCACACATACACCTATACTGTAAAGCAGACATTTTCGGTGGTGTTTAATTTTCGGTAACTTCCGTGCCGACAATTTTTACCGAAAATAATACGCACCGAAATTTCGGTACAACCGATACTGTATACATGTAGTACTAGTACACTTACCTGGAGAACGGGTTTCACCGAAAATTTCCCTCCACCAAACCGCCGATTTTGGAGAATACTGAAAATATTACACCACCGAAAAGTTCTGCTTTTCAGTACACCCACTCTTGAACTTTGACTTCACGCTGGTTAGTATTCATGTCAATACAGGCGACCTACCCTTATAACGATAACCTCCATAACGATATTACCCTTATAACGATATTTTTCTGTCAAACCAAATCACTCCATTGACTTCTGTATACAATGCCTTACCTCTATAACAATATTGCTTTAACGATATTACCCCTATAACGATATAAAATGGGCTGACCAATCGGCATTTTCCATTTTATAACAATATCTAGCAGGGAATATGTAGAGCCCACTATCCAGGTAGGGCAAGCTTCCCTTGATAAGTCGCTGGGACATGACGAAATGCAATGGTGGCACCAGTACCAGTGGGCACCTTGCTGTAAACACAATATGCATGTACATCAGTTTTTTATTCCACGAAGAGTGTAAAAAAATGAACAAAATCCATGCATTATGACGTATGTGTATGAAATGAACCAGTTACCCCTATAACAATATTTCTTGGTCGGACGAAAATATCGTTATAAGGGTAGGTCGACTGTACATGGCAAACATTAGCCAGTTTACAGTAGATCGTGTGTTCTTCTGTGGTGCAGGCAAGGATTTGGGGAGGGGAGATTGGGCGACTCTCCACAGCAGAATCTTCAGGTGTTCCGACTTGACCTTTGAAAGGATCTGATCATAGCAATCGTGCGTTGGTGTGTGGGTGCATGTGCGTGTGTGTGGGTGTGCCTGAAGGTGATGGCGGGTTGTCAGCAAGCAGACCCTAGCCTGAAGCATACTGGCCACCGGGAGTTTTAGTAAACTACTTCCAGCCTTCAGACAATTTAGTGAAAGGGTTAAATTCATGTTATAACTAGGGGTGGGGGGGGGGGGGGGACTACAAATCCAAACCATCCTGTACTTCGCTATCATATGCAGAGTGGATCCAAATCTTGATATGATTCGATGGCCTCAAGCGACGGTCCCTGGTTCCAGTCCCGTTGGTTACAGTCAATTTCGTCTTCAACCTTTTCCCGTTTGCATCTTTCCCTCAAACCAATGAGCACTACTCGATACCACACAGTAGTAGCTTTGGACATTGAATCCCTAGAAAGCAGTCCTGCTTACCTCTTCTCCTATCATAGGTGTGTGTTTTTAGACCGGCGGGCACTCCGTGAACACTGTGATAGCAGTCGGGTGCGTACCAGACGGTGAGCTCCTCGCCAGCGTCCACAGGACGCGTCACCTGGTAGTGGATCTCGCGCTCGAACTGGATTGCCAACATGCTGGCATCCCGCTGCGTCGGCGCGCACCGCACGAAGCGCATCCAGTTCGCCACGTTCGGATCCGACCCATCCAGGTAGTGAGAGATGCGTCGGCCCTCGAAGATCTACACACGACACAAAGGGACAACACGCAAGCATTTGTGAGATAACACGCCAAAAATGGAGATAAACACGCAAGGACTGGAGAGCGGCGCAGCTATCGGTCGATCCGTGCAAACCCCAGGCGACGGGCGTCGATCACCCGTGCGGCGTTTGATTTTCCATCGCATACTCATTGGGGGGCATTGGACACACAGCCCAGGGCAATTGATGCCAACATGATTGGATTACTTAACAGAAACATGAGTTCAGCATGTACCGAACACAGAGCGAAGCCATTGCTGCAGGCGTAAAACTATTTTCAGGGAACATTGGCTCTTCTGCTGCACCTAGCGATGTTAAGACAGGATAAATGCTGGCCGAGCAGAACCGCAGAGGCACTTGAAAACGTTGGAAAGCGTGTGACAGGACACGCCAATCAAGCCCAGTGTCACTTGAGAACTTACCCGTGAGTAAACAGGCACCACTCTACACATTCCTAAACAGCAGCAGCAGCAGTGTTAGCATACTTGTACAAGCCACATGACAGGGACTCTTCGGGTTACGTCTCCCCCCCCCCCCCAAGAGGTACAGTAATTATGACTACCCAGCGTGAGGAACTGAGTTTTGACACAGGTCGCCGTGTGACGCCACCAAGCGCTGTCAAGTGAGCAATGTCAGTCGGCATCAGACAAAACATTCTTTTCCTTTTCTGAGTTCTCGTCGAGGATCGGATTCGCCTGCTCGCCGCCCGTTGCAAGACGTTCTGGCCCAGCCATGCGAGCACCTACTCTAAGACGCCTTCATGCTGTGGGGGTATGATATTCATCCCGTCACATTACCAAACACCTGAAGCACTTGCTTATTGGGATTGCTCAATGTCACAAATAGGCCAATAAGATTCTGGTACAGTCTATTGTGATATCTAAGTTTCAAGGCATTCGCATTGTTCGCCGGTACGACACACAGTACGTTCGGAAGTTAATTTCAACGTGAGAAACCGCTGTTTTGCGGCACGTGGCACGTGACGGCCATCGGAAGGAATCGCAACGGATGAATGCCCAGAACTTGATTGCTCTTACATGCTTGAATGCTAACATGGCTATCATCGAATACATGCCTTCGACTGCAAAACCAGACCCGCTTCCAGCACTCTCGTAAACAATGTGCCTTGAGAACGCAGTTTTCCTCCGGGCAGAATGGTCAGAGAATATTGACAAAGGTCTGCTTCTTTTTCAGCATTCTCCAAGCTTTGCCCCAAGATGAGCCCGACACGCGGCTCCAAACATTAACATGCTGATCTTTATTGCCACAAAGCTGTTAAAATTTAAAACCCATACTATAAGATACTGTTTCTGCACAAGGCCATGAATAGGCCAATGTAAACACTATGTGCCTCATGTCTTGTGCCCACTCTCAAAATTCTGGAAAATAGGTTCCCAGGTCCAGGAGGGAGTGTATGCGTATGTGTGCGCGTGTGGGGGGGGGGGGGGGGTGTGCGCGTGTGTACACATATAAATGTGTGCGTGCGTGTGTGTGTGTGTGTGTGTGTGTGTGTGTGTGTGTGTGTGTATGTGTGAAGGAAGGAAGGCACATGTCCATGGATGCATGTGTCTGCACATGTAGTGGTGTGATTGTTTCAAAACCATTAGGGCACAGGATTCCATTTGCACAATGACTGCTTGTCATCAGAGCACATCAGCTCTCCAGATTTGAAGCATGGCGGGGAGGAAAAGGAGAGAGTTTTGACAGCGAGTTCTTGAGTTGAAGGAGAGCAGTTGACAAGTACCCTCCCCTAGGGCTACTACGCAGACAAGCGGAGTAATAAAATCTTAGTGAGCTAATAGTCACAAACGAAAGGGCAGTCACGGTGGCATATCAACTTGCTCATCAAGGAAGAAAGGGGTCACAGCTGTGAGATGGACACCAACACAAGGCCATTAGCAGTCACAGATCTGCACCTTTAACATTGGATCATTGTGCCTGGTCGGGATAATGATTAGCATTAGCATCGCCACTCCCAACACACACTTGGTAGCCATCATCCTTTCATTGCCCTGGAGCGCAATGTCGTTTCTTTGTGAAAACATGAAACTGGAGTTGGAAATGATCTGCGTATCGCTGACTAGTGCCCTGTAGTTGGGTTTCAGCACGCTCAGCATGCACTCAGAAAGACGATATTTCTTGAATCACAGAGTACTTTTACCACCTGCTAACACACCTGCGCGTATGACTTTGCAATTACTAACAATACGAAAGGAGGACCCGGCATGGATAAACATCTGACGGCTGTTCGAGGATGTCCTCGTCACAGGGTGCCATCACTGACTGAGCTGTCTCTCTTGTCAGGTGTCACTAACACAGCGTACCCTGTTAGATAGTCTGTCACAAAGTCTGATGGGGAGTCTGATAAGGAGTTTTTCCCCATAATTCGTGATTACAATCGTTGTACAGATTGGAGCAATGTCAAGAACTAGAATACCAGGTGACAGTAGTAAATCGAAAAATACCGATTATTTTTTCAGCAATCGCATACCCAATCAGTGAGATGAAGAACGCCCCGACCGGAAAGTCTGAATGGAAAGCACACTGGAGTAAGGTGTAAAAGTGAGATGAGTTATTTCCTTGACGCAATCCTAGTTGTTTGTTTGACACAATCTGCCGTTAGAATTTGTTTTCACACGCCCATTTCATAGCTCTTATTCTTCTTGACGCTGTTTGATGTAGCAAGGGTCCTCCTTCCATGGAGAATAGTCCACTGTCTTTGAAAACCAGGCTCTTGCCAAAGTCTCCAAACCTCACTTTCAAAAGAGAATTTGTTTGGTGTTGTGCCTATTCTGTCCATACGTTTTCAAGTTTCACGGCACGTTTTTCAAACCATGGATGACGAGAAAGAGAGAAAGAGATAGGGGTGTTGCAGGGTGGTGCAATCCTGGGGTATCGACTGATAGCCCAAGTGGATGTTATCTGGGTTTGGCGGATGTCTTCACCGCTGGGACAATGTCACTTGCTGATTGTGTCTGTGTGTTGTCAGACGTCACGTCACCAAAACAGCTTGCAGCTGTTACAAAGTCAAGTTCCCGAACGAGTTTTTTTTCTCTGTTATGTAAATCGCTCAACTGATAGGAGCAACATCGGGAACTACTGTCAACAGCTGACAGAAGCTAATAAAAACGTACGGATTTGTCTTCACCAGCTCTACACCCAAATCATGCATCAGTGCGATACGTAGAGTCTCAGTGACAGAACACTGCACCAAGGTACACGTGGGATACTTGTCTGCTTGCCAACAATCTCCCTTCAGGATTTGTTGCCACACGTCCACTTAGTTTTTCCTACTCTTCTTGACGCTGTTCGTCGTAGCTAATGCCCTTCCATGTAGAATAGTTCCACTGGCTTTGAAAACCAGATTCTTGACCAAATTCAGGCTCCAAACCTTACTTTCAAATGCAAATTTTCTGGTTCGGACGTACGTTTCCAATTGTTCGTTTGCACAAATTCTTCTATACATACACGATGTTTCACTTAACGTTTTCCGTGATCAATGGAGAGAAAGGGAGAGAGAGGTGCGGCAGGGGTGACGCAATCACGAGTTATCGATTGGCAGCCCAAGTGAATGTCATTGTCTGTCTTCATATCATGGGAACCCGACGCCTTTTCAAGTACGTCCTCCCTACTGGATGCTGTCACTGGCTGAGTGGGTCTGTCACTAAAACAGCTTGCCACTGTTACAGTGTGACGAAGTCACGTTCAGGAATGAGTTTTTCTCTGCTATGTGAATAATTGTTGTTGTTAACTTTTATTTTACTTCATCAATATGAATAGTTGTTGAACAGATTGGAGGAAGATCATGTACTGGTGTTACCATGCAAGTGTTACTTATAGAAAGATACAGATTCTTTTTCAGCAACCTCATACCCTAATAATGCATTACTGAGATACAGGACGCCCTGTACTCGATAGCCCACTTTCAAATTGAATTTTTTGGTGATGGACGTACTTATTCAAACGTCTCACTGCACGTTTTCGGGAATGAAGAGAACAGATACAGTACAGGGGTGCGGCAAAGGTGGAGGAATCACGAGTTATCGGCTGACAGCCCAAACGAATTGTATCTGTCTTCGGTCCGTAAGCACCCGACGGCTTTTCGAGCATGTCCTCGCTGTTGGATGCTCTTCTAGATTCTCTTCGATTTCGATGAAGTTCTTTTATATAGAAAAGTATTTCTTGTTTTCAAAACCGGATTTTGGCCAAATTTGCTTGGCTGTAAAACATAATTTAAATTTTTAAAGTTTCATTTGGACGTAGTTCTCCATGTTTTTAAAGTTTCAATTCATATTGTCTGTCGGGAACTTGTGAAGAGAAAGAGAGAGGGTGTGTGGCAGGGGTGGCGCACTCATCAGATATCCAATGACAGCCCAAATGAATGTTATCTGCGTTCAGACCATAGACGTCGGACGTCTTTTCGAGGATGTCCTCGCTGTTGGATGCCATCACGGACTGCTGAGTTGTCTGTCTTGTCAGATGTCATTAACACAGCTTGCCCTGTTAGATAGTCTGCCACAAAGTCACGTTCCGGAACAGGTTTTTCTTTGTTATGTAGATTGCTAAACAAATCACACGGACCTCAGGATCCATTGTCACCATGTGACGGTATTGAGTAGCTTTGAGAGATAATACAGATTGTGTTTTTTGACAAACGCAAATTTCCAAACTTGAAATTTTTGGGTTTGGGACAATATTTCTCCGTACATTCCAACCATATTTACCTGTCCTAATGCTGTAAAACCCAGCCGAATTTATTATCTTCTTGTTACGTGATCTCTCCACATTCTAATACTGTCTCAAAGAAGAACTAGCACGCCAGCGAGTTCAATTTTTTCACGGTTCGCGTCAGACTCGGCTAGAGGCCCAGTTTTCCGCATTCGTAGGAACGCCACCACCCTTCAAGGATCAAGGCGCAGATGCAGCTCCTAAAGCGGTGGGAGGTGAGTAGATCAGCTCGAGATCACCAGCAAGTGGTCAA